GCAATTTATTGATCAAACTTTTAAATGCCAGAGCTTCATAATGAATTGAATTAATTAATAAAGCGGCAACTATGCGGCATTTGGCAGGCCGCACACTCAAATTAGCATTCACCTGACACACACAAACACACACACACATATACACACATTCGTTCTGACACACAAATCACAGCTTAATAAATGCTCTTTGTGCGAGTTTCCCATATTAATTTTTGAAGCGCATTTAAAATCGAGTGCATGTAATTTGCAATTGTCGAACCTACCCTTCTAAACAGATTTGTGGGCGCCTCTTCGCATGCAAATTATGCTGGCATTAAGGGTCATTCTTCACAAACACACAGACACACATAAACACCCTCTCTCTCTGTAATTTGGCACAGTTTTCATGCTCGTGCCATATTTGCCATTGCTTTCATGTAGTCTGTGATTTTGAAATGACAAACAGAATGCGTTTGCTCTACTAAACTGACTGACTATCATATAGCATATCCCCTAGGTTGTAAATCGTCTTTTTTTTATATTGTCTGTCTATAACTTTAGCTTTTAAATAGATATTTAATTTCTATATTTGCTAACTGTTGACTGATTGATGATTAACGCTGAGCTCGAATCGTAAGATCTACAAATTTTGTACAGCAGCGTACTTTTGAAGTAAGCAGTACATTAATATTCCGCAATTGAGGGAGTGAATTTCGCACTACTTTTTAATACATTTTATACCCTGAACCCATTATCGATAAAAATCGATATCGATATCCTGTTTTTTGGGCAATTTTGGTAAATAATAAGAGCTAGAGTCACCAATTTTGACATATAGCTTCTAAAATAGAATATATATATATACATTTGATGTTGGAAGAAGAGGGTTCAGGGTATCCCCTAGTCGGGAGCTCCCGACGAGAACCTTGTACTTGTTTTATTTGTGGTAGCGACGCTGAAAGATTGCTTTTTGGGAAGGTACTAAAGAATGTCTAAAATAAGGAAGACTAAAGAGTTGTCTATTCACGCGAATTGTGAGATTCCGACCTATGATGGGAAAATAGTCCAAATTAATAATCGGAAACCTTTATAGTGGAATCATGAAGGAGAATACTATGAAAGGTATGTAAGCAGTTCACTTTAATCTTTCAAACTTCTAACTATTAGTAATCTGATAGTTTAAAAACAGTAGCCAAATAGCCAGTAGCCAAAGGGTCCCAATTGTTTCTGACGAAGCAACTTCCTGGGAATTATAAATGTAAAGAAATCTTCATTTTATTTATATATATATATCAATATTTTAAAAAAGGGGGGAAATTCGGACTTAAAATCATCTTCAGATTTCGTAACAGTTTCTTTGTCTCAAGACCTAAAATAATACGATTGCGTTGCAAGCATATCGTAAATGAGTTTTCAGATCATAGGAGGGCTTTTTTGACTGTGAGTCGGTCATAAAATAAAACAACAAATAAATCAATAAATCGTCAGTCGAAGCAAGCATTAAGTCCATATAAGGGCCCACGCATGTTTAACAAATAGTACATGGAATTTTTAATTGATTGTCGTGCTTCATTTGATTCAAGCAGGGCTTGGCAGTAGCTAAAACAAATATGGGACTAATAATTTGGTAATTGCTTTCCATTCTTTTTCATTTTGTGTATTTTGTTATAAGGCGAGGGTATTCTTTCTCTACATCGTTTAATGCCCAGATCACAAACTGAAATAAGATCAAATTGTTTTTTTATTTTATATTTTTTTGCTCTCCGCCAGGTACATTTTTAAATGCTCTTGATAGAAAAATTCAAGATATTTTGAAATAAAAAATTAACAAAACAGTTTTCGAGCGGTTTTAGGTTATTGCACAACCTGCAGAGTATGAAGCAGTCGCTTTCAATCACTGTTTTTTTTTCTTTTTGTCTAAAGAAACGGAAAAACTAGCACGGCCCCAATAAAGCGACCAATGAAAGAAGAAAAAAAAATGCGGAGACAAAACAAATGCATCGGTGAAAAGCCGCATGCAAATGAGAAATTGTCGTTCAGCTGGCTGGCAAATTGTGTTAATTAAAAACAAATACTTAAGAGTGGGTGACAGTTGTCTATTTATAAAGTAGAAGAGCTCTCTGACCAGACGATTAACAGTTATAGCCAGAGAGCTTACAATTGCGTCATGAGGTAAGCATGAAGGAAAGGCACGCCGAAGATAGAATACCCTTGGCTTACAAATGCTCTCATAAAGATAATTTATTTCCGATCTATTGTGCTCAAGGGAAATATATAATACATTTGTCCGATGGAACACAGTTTTGCAAATTGGTCAGAATTGTGCGGCTCGTGATTTTTTCAAACGGAATATGTTCAATTAATTTTTAACGGATTTTTCCCACTTAGTTATATGATAAAGTAGTCAGATATTGATAAGAATTTCCTTAGTTGTAAGAAGCATGCAAATAAATGATCCGAATATGTAGCTTTACAAATGTCATGTCAAGTTCTATAGCACCCTCCACTAGGGTATACAACCCCATAGAGAAAATTGTAAGCATGGAACTTATCTATTCCGTTGCAGGTAGACAGCTTAGCTTCATATAACACATGTTATCAGGGTTACGTATGGTCGAGAATAAAGTACGCTTGCAGACATAATCAAAAACACAATTTCCGACGTTTTTTCTAATGGAAGCTATATCATTTACAAATTTAACTCTAATGATGCCTTGCTCTTGTATTAAAACCGAAGTTAAGATAACATCTGGTACAGCGAAATTGGCGTTTAAAGAAACTGTCATTTATCGGCTGAACATTCCTACGAGAACTACTTATGATATAGTGTAAAAGAAGCGATACGATTTTGGTCGAATGCTGATAATAATTTTGATAATAAGCATGTAAATGCAAATGCTGGAGAAACTAAAGAGTTGTTCACAAGAGGAACTTAATATATGGATTCAATTAGCAGCTCTAGATATATTAGTATAGTTCTTGCGAAAGTTAGACGAAATAGTTTTCAAAATGAGATTAGTTTACAAAGTAACAGACAGAACTTGATACTGATCAGGAATATATGCCCTATACAAAGGCTTCGCAGAGGTTTCTGCTTTCCTGAGAAAATTATATTACCCTCTGCAAGGGTATTAAACGGCACCAAAGCACATGCATATTTGCAACCATATAGTTAATATACTTATATTATTATTATATAGACATTGTTTTGAACTAATAGCTGGGACAGAAGTAGGTGACGCTGACGTCGACGTCGACGATGACTTCATGTGAATGACAGCAGAGCAGGTCAGCAGCTCAGCTGAGTAAATGAATGAATGAGTGAGAATGAGAGGAGGAGATCACTGATAGCAATCAAGAACTATATATATTTATTTATATTTTTGCCTCTTTGTTTTTTCTGCTAGTTTATGTTATTTAGCACTAAGGTAAAAGCGCACAAAACAATAGCAACTTCTGTTGTTTTTATTATTGTTGTTGTTGTTGTTGTTGTTGTCATTATTTACCAGAGCCGGTTTGCACTTAAGTTGAGCATTTGATTTAATCAGCGGCAGGGGTGTACAAGTACGAATTCGAGTATATCTGCGACTGTGGCACAGTGAGTGTGTGTGTGTGTGTTTGTGTGAGTTTGCCAAACAAAACAAACATTTGTATACCCTAAACCATCGAACATGCCTAGAGCCTATAAAGTATATGCATATATTCTTAATTCCACGCATTCCAACAAACATATTCATTAGGCAAAATTAAAATGTTTAATTTAAATAAGTTTACATTTAATTTTCGTTTTCAGGTCACCTCTTAATCAAATGTAAACAAGTCTGCTATTTCATTTAATCAGAGATTAAAACAAACACATGTGACTAGCAGAATGACAAAGTTAAGATACCATCGCTAAAAGGTATTTAGATTAATTGAAACGAGGTCATATGCTGAGCGACCACAAGCACCGGCAAGCACAGGGGGCAGGTGCAGTGGCAGGGACAGGGGCAGGGGTAGGGACAGGCGGCAGGTGCAGTTACAGCAGCCGCAGCTCAAGTTGCTGATAACTTTTATCATAGATACAAAGCCCGTTAGATTTATGTCAGGGACTGGGCACAATTTAAACGGACGCTTGGTTGGTAAGTGCAATTGTGGCATGCAGCAGACGGCTGCAGGTCGTTGCGCCTATGCAACGTTAGCTCGACAATGGCGCAACATCCTGTGGCTGGCTTAAATGTGAACGCAGCTCTTCAGACGCTCATGATAAGAACAAACAACTCTTTCAACCCGCTCGACAGTTGTGCAAACAACAAAAAGGAAAAATTTCGTTCGAGCTGGGAGAAGATTAAATACCCTTCCTGCCAAGTTGCTTATGTGCGATATGGTTCTAGACATCAGAGGCTTTTTTTTATTGTTGTTGTTAATCCTAATGTCAGATGTTAGAAGCAAGGAGCAAGAAGCATAGTATAGAAGCATAGTATAGCTCGAAAGTTGATTTAAGATATTTGGCAAAAACAAAAAGTTTCCCCACACAAAAACTAAATTTTCCACTGATAGTTCCTATGTCAGTCATATAACTAGTATGCATCGAAAGTATGATGATACTGATCAAATATACATACTAAATATATGTGGATATTTAGTATAACATATCATCATATATTTATATACTTGATCAGTATCATCAGGATGATATATACATGAGCTTGCAGATGTCTGCCACTATGCGTTACACATTTCGTGGCGATTTCATGACACCCACTGCAAGGGTATACAAGCAAAACAAATCTATTTGCATAACCGTTGAGAGGCGCAAGTCGTACACAAAATGACGTGAGCTGTTGATGGTGCGCGGTGGTTGTGGATGGTGCATGTTAAGCTAATATAACCATCAAAGTCCTGGGGTGCGCCACACTTTGGCTAATTGAGCGATAGATATATACGCATATATAGTATATCAAATGCAGTCATAGCTGTTATTAATTGATTTTCAGCATGTTAACGTGGCGTATGCGTAATGTGAAGTTGCTAACCCTTACCTTTTTGCTCCTGTCCAGCGCGGGCGGCTTGAGCCGGCTCCGTTTTTAGTTGTTGTGGCTGCTGCTGCTGTTGCTGTTGTTGCTGCTGATGTTGCTGTTGTTGCTGCTGCTGTTGCTGTTGTTGTTGCTGTAGCTGCGCTTCCTGATGCAGCTGCGCCTGCACAGGCTGCATTGGGCGCGGATCGACCAATGTGGGCGCCGCAGCTTCCAGCAGCGAGCTTTTCTCCATGACATCCGCCATATTGAAAGAGCCTGTGTATGTGAGGGTGTATGTGTGTGCTGCACTCAGAACAGGACTTTTATGTGGGATTTAACTTTTTGCTCGTTGTGTGTACTCGTTTTTCAATTGACTTCTCTTAGGCATACACTTTTTACTTTATTTTTCACAACTCACTTTGGTTACTTTTGGAATGCCTTAGTTTGCCTTTTGCGCAGCGCAAGTCGGTCTAAAAGAAACTTGGTTATATTTTATAATAATAATGCTGACAATATTTCGTTTTTAGCTTTTTTCACACTTTCTGCTTTTTCTGCCGCTCACTTGCACTTTGCCTTTTTCCGGCTGTATTTTTATATATTTTATTGAATTTTATTTGCTAATGCAATTTTCAAGCGTTAAGCGTTGCGCTTTGTATCTTTTGGGTTTGTTATCTCGTTTTCAACTGATTTTCAGTTCGTCGAAATTCCTAATTAACGTGCTCGGCAGACGCGCAAGCTGTGTTAAAGCTTTTTAGTACACGCGCAGGGGTAAAGTAGCAGAGCTTTTTCCAACAGCAGCTTTGCTGTTGCAGCGCCATCTGTTGCCGAGCTTGTGCTGTTGTTGTTGACACAATCAAAAGACATGATTAAAAGTATTACTTTTATTCACATATAATATTATAGGGGCGGGAAGCTCCGATAAATTTTTTTTCGTTTTAATTAATTAATTAATTTCCAAGATTCCAGGACATTTTCACTGCACAAGTGAAGGCCGTAAAATAGATCATAATTGCCACATTGAAGAAATTACTGGATGCTATCTGGGCTCAGGGACTGTTGAATAGATTTGTAATATAAAATACGATACGCTTCAACTTTGAATTTAAAGCAGTTGTAAGTACGATGACAATCACAGGAAATCCTTAAGGCATGGCTGGAAGAATAGCTAGTAGTGATTCAGTTAAAATATATATATATAGAACAGCTGAACTTTATTGAAAAGCAGCTAGAGATGTGGCACGCTTAGCTGGTCAAGTCAATTGCAAATCCCATTTGGACCACTACTCCTGCAGTTGAGGAACCAAAAGGAAACGACAGGTATTAAACCAGCCAAAAATATGGGTTTTTGCAAATTCGTGTGGCAATAGTGGCAGCTATTCAAAAAGTGAATCATTCTCAATTATTGTATACTACGTGAGAGCCTACATTAAATTTGTTGTCTCCAGCTATAAGCTAAGAAGTTTGGTAAACAATGACATGGTATATTGATATCGATTATAATTGACTTCCTAGAATTGGGCCAAGCTGTCGCTGATTTAAATATCAACACTACCTCTGAAATCGACGCATTCGTACGACATGGTTAGATCGATTCGCCTGTTGAAGCTAAGTCATACTATCTCTATATATAAACCGTAAGAGTAGTTATCTTATGCTAGGAAGGTGGACGTTAGGACGGGGCTCTTCAGCTTCAAGATTCTAGGCGCAAGACTATCATGGGCGGAAACCGTTCATTCAACACTTGGCTCTTGCTTCTGAATTGGAGATCAAGATGGCTAGATTTCAGTTTTCCACGGGCGTGTACTTAGTGGAAAAGTAATATCTAACATTTTTAGCAGAAAATATTCCCCGGGCAAACTACGCTAGAATATATGAACATATATATATATATATATTTACAATGCATTAGTACACCTGTATTTATCCATGGGTTCAGGGTATAAATACTTGTAAATAAGGTAGGGAAAAAAGTGTATATGATACTTTCCCTTATAAAGAAAATCCAAAATATTTGAAGTAAATTAAACTAGAGGGTAAACTAAATTATGAAATACAAGGGGAAGCTTTTCATATGTAATTAGCAGATCTGTTTTGTTTAATTATCTCAAATGACTCGATAAATTTAGTATACTAAGACCGTTTGCAACAAATTTGTCGACGCATGTGGACCGTAAGATAAATAGATAAACGGTCGCCTGGACTCTTCATACACATCTGAATGCCATCTTTTGTTCAGGATTAGTTATATCTACTTGTTTGTTCGAAGATATCCGATTGAAGTTGCAACACGAGCAAATATTTTGCTACTTGGTTTATTTGCGTCTTTCAAAATAAATAAAATTAATTTTGGGTTTGCACTTAAAACTTAAAAATGAAAAATTCATGAACAAAACAAAAATAATTGGCACGAAACTTATTTTTTCAGTTTTTTTTCTTTTGTTTTCGTTATTTTTATAATTTAAATTTTTTTTTATTTTTTAAAAAATAATATTATCTTGAAGTTCAATTTTGCAGTTGTAGTAGCAGAAGTAAAATTTAATTAAAATAATATACGAGAGAGAGATAGAGAGAGTTAGCGATGAATATAACATCTATGGAGAATGGCTGTTTGCTATAAATTTGTTGTTTGGTGTTCTTGCTGTTGTTGTTGTTGTTATTTATTTATTTATAGCGCATCTGGTCTGTCACACATTCTTGCAAGGAATGCTATAAGATGGGCGGAAAGCAAAAGATTATTATTAACATATATATCATTTACGTATAAATAGAAGATATCATAGACAGCGACTACATAGACAGGTAGACAAGACGACAACACTTACTGTTTAGTCGAAGACCACGGGATCGCTCATCAAACGCTGGATGAACTCTATTGGATCGGATCAATCACGACACAGAGAGAGACAGAGAGCGAGGGCGAGATAGACACGCCATGTGCGTGGTGCGCGATGCGTGGTGCAGGGTGCATGGGTCACACAGAACATTGATTGACAGATTGACGGATTGACGGATTGAACACAGTTGCGTGTGTGTGGAGGAGTGTGCAAGGTGCAGTTTAATTGATTGATTGAGTGATTGGGTAACAAGTGTGTGCGTAGACAAGAGGTGCATGTAAAAAAATAAGTACAAATAACATTATGTAGCACATATACAAATTGACAAAACACATCAGACTCAGAATTGCTAATGAATTAGCTGAGCGATACTTACGAGAATAGGGGATGAAGCCCTCATCATCCTCGGGATCCATGCAGTCGGCGAACAGATTCTCCACTTGTTCATCATCCAGGGACTCACCTGTTGGTAAACACATAATTAATTATTATACATATAGTATAAATATATTGAGTGTGCGATTTTCTTTTGTTAAGCCACTCACCAAGTGCCAGCAGAGCGTGCTGCAATTCAGCGAGCAGCATGGTGCCGTTCTCCTCCTTGTCGTACAGCTTCAAGCACTCAATGAAATCCTCATAGCAGCCCTGCTCCTTCTCCTTCTTCACTTGCGAGTAGATGGGCAGGAATTCGTCCAATTTGATCTTCTTCTCGTTGCGCTTCTTGGTGCCACCCATTTTCTCGATCAGAGCCAGGGTGGGGTTCAAGTTCAGAGCGCGCAGAGCATCGCCTAGATCGAAGGCATCAATGCCCTCACCGGGTGAGCCCATAACTTCGAAAACGAATTCGACATCTGTGCAAAAACATTTCCAAAATTAATTCGGTTGCAATTAACAAGCAACTCTTTAACTTTTCAATTTCATTTATTGATCGATTTATTGTTTATTGAAAAAATAGTTGAATACTGTTGATTGAGGTCAATTCGATAACCCTGAAATTTAGGGTACGCACATTTTTGGTCATCACCAAAATCTTGACATGGCGGCGCATTGGTTACGTGTGCGCGAGTGTATGTGTGTGTGTGTATGTGTGTGAGTACGCGTGGGAGCGTTGCCAACACGAAGAGCATACATATACGTATACGTAATCCGACACCCGAACGCCTTCGTTTATACAACTATCACACACACACACAGGCAGGGACGCACATACACACACACACGCACACACGCTCTTTGGCAGTGCGTTTCAACGAAAATAAATCCGTAGAAATAACTTGGCCAAAATTAGATCGTGCTCTCCTCTCAATAAACACAGCTACATATACACAACAATTTTCCATTGTGCTCGTATTTTAGTTAGATAGATTTTAGTTTTTATCTTTTCATTTTCACAATCCTTACACTAGATAATGTGAAGAATTTCATTTAAATAACTTATGTTATAATTTTTAAATTCCATGTATATCTTGTTGTATATGTATCTACATATATTTGCAACGATTACGAAATATCTTTTACTTTATATGAGGCATATTCTTTTCGTATATATGCTGTATAACCACGCATATCATGGGGCTCTATTTATATGTAGATTTTCTTTTCTCTTTATATAAATATATGTAAAGCACACGCGCACATTATGTAATCACTTTGTTAAAATACAATCACAATGCTGTACTTGATCAAATTTGATATAGAAGTGTTTTAATGGTGTTGGGTTATTTTGATTACAGCTTTTGTAGTCCTCAGCGGCAAGATTATTCAACTATGTTTCCGGTGGTAAGTGTGTATTTTGTTTGATTTATTTTGAGGTTATAGTTATAATCCTTTTTTTTTTCATTCTGCGTTGTTTTTCAACTTACTTTCAACTTCACGCTTTGGAACATCAGCCTGTTGTTTGAATAGTAGAAAAAAGAGTAATATTTTTGATTTTTTTAATTTAATAGTTGTTCACATTTTATATATTTGATATATTTAGTGGGCTTGGAAAATTCAAAGTCTTTGCCAAACCAATGTGCGGCGGCAGCACTCACCATTTTGTCTATTGAATGCGAAAAGCAACTGTATCGCGGATGAGCTCGGTCTCGACTGAACGCTATTCGTCAGTGGCAGTACGGCAAGGTAATTCTGAGGTGATACCCAGCGGCGAGTCTGACCAACTCGCACACAGATAAAGATACCAGCAATACACACACAAGCACACACACACACGTATAAATGAACATAGATGAAATGCTCAGACTTTTTTCCTACGCAAGGCTGTGGCAGAACACACACAGATACTTACACACATCTATATAGATCTTTAGATATATAGAAACATATGCTGGCAAAGAATTTACTTTCATCTGGGCAACATTTTCAAATGCCCTCGCGTACTCTCTTGATCTCGCTCTCCCTCCTTTTCTCACTCTCTCCCTCTCTCTCTCTGTTTCTTGGACTCTCTAGTTGGTTCTATTTTTAAGATATATATCTTGTGTTTTTTTCTTGTGATTTTTCCTATATGTGCCTGCAAAATAATAATCAGTTGTGGCATGCTCAGCCGCATAGTGTTGAATATCATTTGATGTTACACATGAATTTGCAGATAATATTTTCTGTGGGGGCTTATTGTTTTTATGCCATGGGGGGCAACCACTACGCATCGATTCTATATGCAACACATAAAACTATATGTATGTATATTTTATATCTTTACCCATGCACATATGTATATATAGATATTTAGTATCTGGCGACCCTGATCGTATATTTGGCAACGCATTTTATAGAATTTTTTCATGAGAACGATTCGCATGTTATCATTCAAAATGTTTTGGTTGCCGGCTGATTTTATGCCTAAAAAACACCTGAATAGCTTTAAAAATTCGTAATTTGTTTAAAAACTTTTTTTTCGTATCGAAAGCTATTCCTGTGTAGCTCTCTCACTCGCACATTCTCAAAATCGTTGACTCTCATCTACATAGAAGGCGTATTACTAGGCATCCAATTGTATTTGTGTCTACAACAATTTTGAATGTGTGCTATTTATAAAAACTATGACACAGATACACCAAACGTATTCAGAGCATTCATCTACAACGCATATTCCGACTGTTCCTATATACACATGCACATAAAAATATAAACATATTTATATGGATATATATAGCTTTTAGAAACGGGGCACTTAAAAGGCATAAATTGTAGTTGGGAAATTAAAACAAATTGGATTTAGCTTTGCCAACGGCAGCCGGCAAAACTGCTAACTGCAGTCCTTGTCCTTGGCATCAGCCTTTGTTGGGCACGTCGTTCTGAAGAGTGGGTCCTACTTTGACCCAGTTGCGGCTCAGCGGCTCAGCTGTTCAAGCCGAATCGCTCAACTCATCTCTCGCCAAACCTGCGCAGCCTCACACATCGCAACAACCTGTTGCTGAGGGGGAGGAAGTGAACAGATGACCACAGGCACAGCAATTGGTGCATGTCAATTGGGCCGGCTTGCATGAAGCAGCTGTTAGCAAACTCCCAACGCAGGAGCTGACACAATGGGCGAACTCTGCGCAGTGGCAATTGCGCAACTCATTGATAAAGATTCGACTGGGAAACATGCTTAAAAGCATTCCTGTCTAGAGTTACAAGAAATAAAAAATGTAAAGGCATACCTTATATATTTTTCTACCCTTTAATACACATTGAAAATACTTTTAAAACAGCTATTTTTTTATGCTTGTGGATAAGTTCAGAAGAATATAAATATTCTGCAGTCTTTTAACTATTAGCAATATAATTTTTTATATTATATTACAATTACAATTACTAATAACTAATAACTGCTTTAAATACCATCGACATCTAGAGACCTTGTTTCAGACAATGCTCTATACAAACACTAGACTGGAGTTCGCATCAGAGTCTTGGTGAGTACAATTTGATCTAATGCTTAAATGTTAATATTATTAATATTTAAATGTTACTTTGAATTTTGTTACGATTACGGTTACGGTTATAATAAATATATCCAACCGCAAAATAGCTAGAGTTTCTTATCGGCATGTAGGACCTCCTGTTGTCAATTCCCGCTCAGGAAATGGAGTATAATTATTAGAAATTTATCCTTGCTTTTAAATACAATAAGCGTATTAGCCATAATAGAGACATGTGTCTTTTTGCAGCTGTTTGGAGGATAACAAGTTGTCGGGTAAAGTATACTAGATTACAGCTTCTCGTGCTTTCTATATAAAATGTGTCTCCATGCTTTTATTTAATTTGAATCTGAATTGCACAAAAAAAATCATATTCTTATTGTGAGTATAGTATTGTGTGCTTCAAGTACTGGCTTCTAAAATGTTTATAGCATGCTTCGCTGAATCTAGATGTTATTCCCATCCAATAACAATAATTCTATTTACTATGCTTCGCTACAATCTACTTGACGGGTATCTATGTGTGATACATTTTATGACTAACACTTAAAACTGCCTTTTGTTATTTAAGCAAACTTCGCCCTTAGAAAGCAGCTAACACCCAAGCACACACACAACAGCTTAAAAAAGATAAGCTCACAGACCCCCATATATAATGCAGCACACGCGGCGTATACGCAATTTTCAACCCTCACTCATAGGCTGCTTGTTATCATTGATAAGTGCGCCAAGCGTACAGGGTGAGCTAGCGAAACCAGAGGTTGTTGGTTTGGTGCAGCTAGAGAGAAAGCACCCCTTATATATCTGTATATATAGAGCAGCCCTTTATGGGGGTGGCTGTGCGTATGCTTAATATGAGTCTGTGTGTTTGTGTTTTGGTTGTGTATACGCACCGCAGGCGTGCGCTGCTGCTGCTCCTGTCGCTAGCAACGACGAACAACGAGAAGGATAACGACGATGTGAACAGCTCGTCCATTAACGAGGCGACGCTTTGTCCCAGTTGCATCCGAACGCTTCAGCCGTAAACGTTATCGAAACTGGCAACGCGCAAATTAAGGTAAAAAAAAAGAACAAAGAAAAAGAAAAAGGAAAAGTTTAAGCTGAAAATGTATAACTGACACACATTTAAATCAAACAAAATACAAGGCGCAACAATCCAGCAAGCAATTATTTGCAGTCCAAGTCGCGTCCGACTGGTGCAGAGCTCTTGCCAAGCCCTTTGCTTAAACAATCCGTCCATTGGGTGTGGCCGCAATTCGAACAAATTGTTGGACATAAACGTATAAATTCAGCGTTTGATTTGAGTGCGTGTTAAATGTTTGACAATTGTCAATTTGGCAGCAAAATTGACTAAACTGTTATATAAGTGAAAAGCTGTGAAAATTTTTTCGTATGCTGCCCCGAAAAATTAGCATGTATACCGAAAAAATGTCCAATTCTGTATCTATAACTCAGACGACGCGAAGCTGCGGAGTCTGCGTTCTGCGCAGCCTTCAAGAAGCAGCTGGGTGCACCCCCTCCCCACCCCTGCTCAGAGCACAGCTGCGAGATGTGAGTGGCAGGGGCTGTAGAGATTTTGTTTTGGCACTGACCTAGACACCCCCAGCCGCCAAGTAGGGTAGGAAGGGGGCCTCTTGTTGAGCCTGCGCACGCAAATACTTGTTGCTGCGGCAAACATGCTAATGCCGTGGCATGCCACCATTTTTTATGAATGACCCGACACATTCAACAGTTGCATGCCACTGAATCGTCTGTGCCCTTGCTTTCCAGCTGGCCACCATGGTGACCAATGCGACAACCAACAATAACAATCTGCAGGCGAACAACAACAGCTCGACGCCAAACAATAACAACGATGACTTTGACATTGACCAGGACGATGGCCTCCAGGATCTGGGCTTGCCCGTATCCGTGCAGACATTCCTCTGGCGCCAAATAGCGCCCTTTATAAGGCCGCGACTGGGCAAACTGCATGAGGCCAGCTGCATGGTAAGTGTGTCAGCCAAAAAAAAAGAATAGAAAATTACCCAACAAAAATCAAAGCTTGGCCATTGGTTAACATAAATCTTAACGGAAGTGTCAAATAAACCTGCATTGGAGCTGCCAGCTCCAACAAAAAAATATATAAAAATTAACTTATTTACGAACTAACAAGATAAATTACCTTTGGATAGCCGAAGATGGAATACCCTTGCAGTTGAATGAAGATTTTAAGCCACAACATTTTCAGAGCGATTTTTCCTATAGTAATTATATGATATAGTAGTCCGATATCGATAAGACGTTGTTGAAATTTTAGTTTTCGAGTTTGGTTCAAGAATAACTTGAGTAAAAAGCAAATAGTTTTTTCCTGAAAGAAATTGGTGTTGTGCCCAATGTTCGATGTTGATAAGATTTTACTCAATAAGAATATTGTAGAATATTGTATTGAGAGATAGAAAACTGTAGAATATATAAACTTGTTAAGTAGATTCTCGTATATTACACACAGATTATAAATATTTCACTTTTTGGATACCTTTCTCCACACCTCAAAATGAAAAAAACCCTGTAATTTTTAAGCGTAGATCCTTGCTATTTGGCGCAAACAGACATTCCTAAACCATAAAATTAAATCCCTAATAATTTTATAATGATCAGACAATAAAGACCGTGAGAAGAATAAGCAGAGCCTCCGCCATTTTAACGCCAACTGCAAGGGTATATAAATAATAAAGATACAGAAGTTAAAATTAAACTAAAATTGTGCTGTAAATTCGCTATGCGTGTTTGTTTGTAAGGAAACTGGAGTGTGTACTGTACCATTGGCACAACCGAATACGAAATTGTTATATAATATATGACATAAATATATATATATGTAATATTGATTTATATTATGCTTTATGTTTTACTGCTCTTTAAGTTCGATAACAAAATCGATCTATATGATTATGAATATGAATTTGATGTTTGATGGTTATTTGTATTCATTTTGCATTCGATTTTCAATTTCTTTTCTACAATTTACTAACACGCTCACCTTACACAAATAAAACCTACTTATTATGACAACAATATTATGCTTTAACTTACAATAACAACAACATCAAAAACAACAACAACTACAATCAATAAACTGTACAAATTAACATTGTAAAATCTCTCGCAATTTGTCTAAATCTGAATGTAGTTTTGTCAACACGCACCGGGACACCATGTAAGTTATAAATGTTATAAATGTACATAAATACTAACATATCTTACTATAACTAGGTATATTACGATATTACTTCTGTGTACCTCAAAATATATAATCTTTTGATTTAAATGCGCTTTTGGTTGTTGTGCATGCCTTGAGCTCAATTTTAATTGTTTTTCTTGTAGTTCGTTTGTGAATATTTAAATCTTATTTCATTGTTTCTTAGTTTCAGTTGAACTTAAGCACTCTCTATATATTCAACAGAACTAATCAGTACACTTATGTTTATATGTTATCTCTTTGATTTACTTGCACATATCGTAGGAATCCAAAGAAGCCTGCAAGGTTAGTAACCCTTTTGATAGTCGGCGTTCTCTACTTAACCCATTCTTATTTTACCACTACCAATAGTCCTTTGAGAAGGTGCTGGTGCAGAATATTCAGTTCGGCCTCTCCCCGCCGTTAACTAAGGCCCTGGGCGCCATTCCACGTTGGCGTCTTCTACAGGGCGCCCTGCCGCATGTCATGCACGCCTGCGCAGCTTTACTTTACTGTAAGTTTTTAATATCGATTTTAGACTGTACAACTTCCATCTTTCTATATAAAAGAATTTGTCCTGACTGACTGATTGAGAGGTGATCAAGGTACTGCCTAGTCCGTAGGAAATTTTCATTTTTATATTTGTGTTCTTTTTTTATTTGTTTTTTATTCACCAAAAAAAGGAGCAATAGTAGTTTTAGCATATGACTATTCTTCCTGACTGACTTACATATTCAGAGTACTGTCCTTTTATGAATAGAAAGTGCGGACATATCTCAAGGAATCGTCTGTTGATAGTCTTCTGGAATTTACAAATATTATTTATGTAGCTCGAAATGTCTTCTTCAAAGCAATTACTTACTCATATGAAATATTTTTTACTGTATTGTATTCTTACCCCATATAAGGGCGAAGAAGCAGTTTTATTACTTTATTTGAATTATAATCATGCCAATGCAAGCCGTCGGTTCTTTGAACATAATTTTTATAATATCGCCCATTAGGATTGCTTAAAAATAAAAGATCGACAACATTTAGACTCATATAATATTCAAATAAATTATTTACTTACACTCCATCAGTTTTACCATGATACCAAAAGCCTCCATGATTCAGATACGACCTGTTATCATAATGGTTTTCCCGGTCGTAAGTTGAAAATTCATAGTACAAATGAGTATTAAAATTGTTTGTAGAGCCGTTCATACTACCCAAACCTTTCAGTTTGTATTTTTCGACTTCGCTACCAATATAAAAATTATCATACCGAGCCCAGTTGATAACACCATTAAATGCCTCTATGAAAGCATAGAACTCGTAGCGCTGATAATTGGTCAAGTGATATATATTTTCTAGACCTAGAAAAAACTCTTTCTCCAGATTGCCGAAACCGTTACGGTAATCAGCCCAATTTCTATAAAAATCCTCTGAACCATCGTATCTTCGTTGAATAACAATCCAGCCAGGTCCTGCTGTTTGACCATCGCAGAGTACGCGAAAAGGTTTTATACCGGGAAGGAAAAGTGTTTTAATACCTGTATAATAGCCAAAGGGAATACAGCTGGTGGGTTTCGGTATCTCAATTCTTGGGGTGGTTTCTCCAATAAGATTTACAGATGGCTTCACCAGCTGAGACCGACACAGCTGTAGCTGGTTTTCAATAAGTTGATTTTTATTTTCCACCATTATTTTAAGGATTTCTGCAGTGCTTTGCAGTTGGGCTATTTGATGCTGAAGGTTCAGTTCAGATTCATTGCACTTTTCGTTTATGCAGCTTTTTTTTAGTAGCAACTCGTTCGCTTCATTTAACGATTTTATCAGATTATCTTTATGCAGATCCTCAGACTGTTTTAATTGAAGCAAAACTAGTTTTTCTTCCAGGTCCCTCTGATATTGTAATTGCACATTCAACTGATCTAGACTCTTCAAGAATTATTTTGTTATAATGTTTTGTATATCCTTTTACAGCTATAACTACCATGTCCTGAGCCTTGATGGCTCCCAGCAATAATCCCGACATGACTAATGTGATCATTAAATCCATTTTACACACTTCACTTTTAACTGCTTAGACAAGTATTCGCCTTCAGAGTTAAAATGAGATTTAAGCGAACTAGCACGTAGCTTAAATGTGATTGGAGCAGAGCATTAAACTGTAGCTGAAACTAAAAATAAATTTGATATGGGCGGGAGTTAGTCCCGGAAACATAAATGGCTCAATTTTGTACACCCTGAACAAATTGAAAATGGGTATACTGGATTTTTGAAATGTATGCACGGGCAGACGCAAGTATCGCGCTCCCCATAAATCTGTCTTAGTCCCTCTTGGTCAGCATCATCGTATGTTTATCTATCCGCATGTCTGAGCGAGTCTATCTCAAAACCTTGAGATTTGTAACTTTAAGCATAGGTTCCGCTATTTCATTTCGAAACATCTCCTAGTCGGCAACTCCCGGCTCGAGTTTTTGATTTCAAATTAAAGTCTGGGGCAGATGTTTATACCTATTATAAATTTGTATCGGAAACATCCATAGATGAATTAATAAATCAATTTGCGTCTTGGGGGAACAAACCTGGGGTCGCCATATTAAGAGAAATTACCTGGCGTTGTCCGGTTGAAATAAATCATTTTTAACAAGCAGGTGGCACCGAAATTGTTTGTGTAAGAAACAAAAACTTGGAAGGAATTTAATTTTTTACCGACTTTAGTGTGTGGACTTCATATACTCCAGACTTCGGGATTGGTGGGCGGACGCTCAGCCCTCGACGCTGTCAAGCGATTCGCCGGAAGTACATTTTATACACATATAGCACTAGCAAATATTACCCGGCCTAACCACGTGTTCTTCTACATCTATGCTTTTATGGCTTTTCGCTCTGCTGTACTGTATTCCACAAAATGTGTTGTTTCAGGCCGCGTGAAGGACATGCAGGCCATTGGGCCGGTCGAAACCAAGTTGCTGTACACTATGCAATGGATATTACTCTATGCAGCCGAGGAATGCGCCGATGACGAAGGAGGCGATGATCTGGGTTTGGCTGAAGCTGCAGAGCCCAAGCCCAAGGCTATGGATCAGTATTTGTTTTCGGTGCCAACTATCACGGTTAGTTCTAATTGCTAGAGATGCTAAATACAGATTATTAATCATTATTGGTCACAGCTTTTTGTGTATCTGTTCGCGCCCATCATACATCATCTCAAAGAATCGGACTTTCAAAACTTTCGCCTGGAGAATGGCATTAAACTGTGGCAGGGCATGTGGGACAATCGAGCACCGGGTGCTCCATGTTTCACCGCGCCCGTGAAGCCCAAGGCCCGCAACTTGCTGTGCGCACCCACGCCAAAGGGTTCGACGGATGTGTTTCAGGGTCGCAAGCATTCCCTGGGACCCGACGCTATGTCGCCCAAGGCGGACTCGCCGCAGAGCGGCCTCACTGACTACGGCCCGCAAGATGAGGATGTGAGCTAATCGCAGTCAGTTTGATTGCCAACTATATTAATTTTGCCTTTGACTAGGGCTCCTGGGTGTCTTCGCCCAAGGAGTTTTTCCCAGAGACTATACCTGAAGAGGCTTCCAGCGTCGAGGACGAGCGTGTTGTCATCTTTAGGCTGCCCTCCGCACCGCAGCTCATGGATAACTCTTTCTTCACGGTAAGCAATTTAGTCTAGTTATTGACTTAACCTTAGCTACCACAACTGGAGTCCATTTCAGGCTGATGCCAGTTTGCTTCAGCAGCAGCAGCAACTGCAGCTATCGCAAAGCCGTCGGGGCAGCCATCAATCAATGAATTCACGTGACAAAGAGAAGGCACCCTCCACCAAGTTTGAGTTTGATCAGCAGGAGTTGACGCGTGGCGCTTCCATGAAGGAGAAACGCAGCGCCTCCATTGAAAAGGAATCGGAAACGGATAAATCTGAGAGTGCGAAGGCGGATGTCTCGGCTGCCACCTTTCTGGATGTGGCCGTACTTAGATGCCTCTTCATCTCGCACTGGCAGGAAGAAGGCATCTTCTGGAGCCTACAGTACCTTTACAACAGGTACGTCGGGTGTTCTTTTAATATATCAGTTGGTGCAGTTGCTTGCTTTGCAGACTCAGCGAAATCGGCGAGGATGCAGCCATCACATTGAATCAGCCACGAAAACGCTCCAACTCGCTGCCCATACCACAAATCGAGATCTCACTGTACCAGGGTCCGGGCAGCAACAGTCGGGATAGTCCGGGCAGCTCTGTGGTCAAGGATTACATTGAAATACCCGAGCCAGCAGCAACCGTTCAAGCCGGTGTAGTTGGTGAGCTGTAGAAGCATTTTAGATCCATCACGCTTTAAAACTAACCTATAATTAGGGGCTTTTCTTTCAGAGGAGTCTCCGACCATGCCTAGCACTTCAGAACGTCGGGGCAGCGAGAAAAAGAAGCGCGTAAAAATGGCCGATCTACGGGCCTTTGTTGAAACGAAAATGTTCTCGAAATCGGAAAAGAACTTGGAAAAAGTAGGGCTCGATACAAACTCTGCCAATGGCAAGAATCCACTGCAACATGCAGTAAGCCGAAAGCTATCACTAACTTTATAGCAAAACCCTTTTGTCAAATGCCATTAGCACACGTTCTTTGAGTATGCGTTTGAAGGCCTAGCACCCCGCTTAGATATCGAATGCTTAATTTATCCAATCGTTATCTAAACCTGTTCGTTCACCTGTCATATGTTGTTACTAAAGTTTATTGTTAGCTTACCTGGTGATAAAATCAACCAATCCCTAATTGACTTAATTTCGTTTGCCTAGGAATATCATCGTAGCCTCGACACGGGCGAGAAGAAACTGTCACGATCTGCCTCAATGATAACCCGGGAGCCAGCCAGTAATCTCATCAAGGGAAAGTCTATGCCCAGCTTGAGGTAACTACAATTCCCAAACCTATAACCCGATTCTCCAAAAAACTCTCAATTGGTACTTTGACATCAGAAACGACAACAGACACACAAAATACAACCTCCCCAAATCAATACAACAGACTATTCTTAACTCTATTGTATATTATATCACTTACTGTCTTTTATGAACTGAACAACCAGCTGTCTGCTTGATAGCGGGTGAGTTTTGGTCTACAGCTGAGTTTTATATCTTTAAACCTATTCATTCATAATGTTTAGTTTCAACTGCGTCTATGCTTCCTATATAAACCAACTATGTCACCTACTAGTCAACTATATTTTCTCCGTACAGTTTGCCTGAACACCTTTACCCACCCCTACGATACTTTTCTTTGCTAGCTATAACCACCTAGTGCTTGCAAAACTAAGGTACCCCTTTCAATGCTCATTGTAAATTAAATTTCACTTAACTTTTGCTCCCCTTAATTGTAACGCCCAGCTGCATTTTCTATGCTCATTGCAAATATTTACAATGAAGCTGGAGTGCATTGCAACATTTGACAGATAGAATTCTGGGCGACGGCACTTGAAAGTGAATTTTAAATTTACAATGAAGCTGGTGAAGAAACTTGCCTTTTGAAACCCCATTCCGAACTTCTTGTTCTTACAGCTTTTTATTTTATGTTTCTTGCACGCCGTTTCGACTAATTCATTGCACATATGGTTTTCGCATGTATTTTACAATATGCCAGATTTTACAGATACATAGAACCGCCGAAGGCCTCAAGGCCACCACAGGCCACGTGTCCACGATCCACAGCTTTCTATCCACGCAATCCCATCATCACCGTTACAGAGCATACGCCCACCCCGTCGCCGGATTATATGAAGCGACAGGTAAGTCAGATACTGTAAGCAGAGAATAACAGTCTACAGTCAAGGGTTCTTTGCTCTGTCAGGGCTCCATTGATTCACAGTTGGATGCACTGAGCAATGGTGGAAGCATTGCTGGCACTGGTGGTAATGGCAGCGCTGGTGGTGGCAGCAGTACCACTCGCATTCGCGGACCCATGCTGCGCTCGCACACGGACTCCCACATTGACTATACGGGCGTGGATGAGTCGGAGGCACCAGGCTCCTCCTTCTATATTACTCGCGATGGCGGCATCGATTATGAGATCGTTCTGCTGGCCGTCAGCAGCGTGTTCAAGCGGGATCCGTCCCAGGTCTGCTCGCTGCGCGTGCTTGAGGCGGGCCTAAATATCTGCGAGCTTCTCATCGAGATGGGCGTCCTAAAGTTGGGCGAGCATGCGCATGAGATATCGATGGGCATAACACGACGTGCACTCCAGGTGCTGGGCTGTCCCCATGGCTGCAATGATGGTGAGTGCTTTACACATAACTGTGCCCGAAAACAATTAAATTACAATTTAAATTAACGAGAAGTAACGGCTATCTTCGGCACGCCGACGCTTAAATACCCTTGCAGACCGAACCTTTTCATAATGCTTTTAGTGCTTTACCCGTATCTAAAAAGCACAGGGAAAATTGTTATGTCTATATTATATTATTATCTATTAGCTATGTGATAAAGTGCTCCAATCCAGCTGGGTGCAACATATGGACTGCGTGCACTTCTGCAAAGTTTCAAAAAAAAGCTTTAAAACTGAGAAATAGTATAGAAACAGACAGAAAGGACGTCGGATATGGCTATATCGACTCGGCTATTGATACTGATTAAGAATATATATCATTTACGGGGTCGTGGATGTTTCCTTTTATGCGTTACATATTTCACGAAAAAATTATAATACCCTCTGCAAGGACATGAAAAGATTAAAAGAGCTTTGACTTAGATACTTCTATTGCATGAAAATATTTTGCTCGATTCAAAATGTAGACTCCTCAAATTATATTTAACTTTCTGAATAACCGACCAAAATTTAAGACAAGTTCTAGACTTTTAGTCTAGTCCTTAACTTTGGTATTTACACAGATTTGGATAGATTTGAAAGTAAGCTGCAGGAGTCGGGTACGCCAGACAGTGCACTCTTACAAGCTTTATTTACATTCCATCTTAGGGCGAATAAGCATTTTCACTGCTTTGAGAGAGTCAAAACGTTTGCCAATTAATGCTTAGCTTATCATCGTCTTTGTGCGGCAACTATCTCATTTCTCATAGGTCTAAAATTCAATGTTCAGATGAACCTCTGAACTATCGTATCCCCGTTGAATGAGAGTCCAACCAGAAAACGCTTTCTAACAGCTCTGTTTTTTAGAACACGTCGATCACGAAAGTGATGCTGCACCTAATATGACATGTTTGTTTTACTGATCCATTTACAGGTGTTCGCGGTCCTCCCGCCGATTTTCTGCGCAATCAGTGCCAGAAGATTATCGCGCGTATGTTGCGCCAGGCCGGGCAGCGCACCAAGCGCTATCTCCAGGAGATGGTCAGGACTTCGCCGCTTCCGGAGCTCATTGATTATTTCCATGCATTTCTGGCTTTTTGCGTGGATCCCAGTTCGTTGCTGTCGCCTTTGAGTAAGTGCCGCCTTAAAGCCTGTGTCTAGTCTTAAATAAGCTCTGTCTTGGATGTTAAAAAATGCAACATTTGCAACATTTCCGATGGTGCACCAAATCCTAATTGCAAGTTTTAATTTTAAGTTTTCTCCCGAACAAATTCGTATCCATATTGGTTTAAATTTTCATTTCTTTGTGTGTGTGTTCGTGTGCATTTATCTTGCATGCAACGATTTTTGCTAATGCTTTTGAGTTGTACCCCTCTTGCCACTGACCCTCCACCACCAAATACCAATATCAAATACTCGTACGTTGTATATATATATATATGTGTATGATGCAATAGCTCATAAACGTCAGAGTGGATATAAAAATGTTAACACCGATCTTGGCGGTGTACCAGGTCAGGGCGGCTATTCCACAAATTTTAGCGGCGGCGTGAGCGGCGGCGCCGAGGGTCAAGTGGTTGGCGCCATATTTAAGCAGCTTGTCACTCGGTTTGTCGATGCCAGCAAGGATCTCAAATTGCCGGAGAATGTTGCACTCTATGGCGATATACGCCAGTTGGTCACCTACGTAAAGGGCGCACATGGTGGTCCGTTTCGCTTGGTGGCACTCAGCGGCATATTGGCGGTGACGCCGCGTCCACACAAGAAAGGACCCACAGCACAAACCACAAGGGTAATTAGGTAAGAACTGCATAGCCACCCCCTTGTCCTCACCACCTCTTACACTGCGTTGAATTTTGCAGGCACATACCCCAGGCGAATGCTACGCAGGTGGTACAGAATGACGACAATCGTTCGCAGCGCCGGCTGCTGCTCAAGAAACGCAGCACATCCTCTGCCTGCGCCGTGGTGAGTTCTGTTTCAAGTCTTCTAACAATGCACTGATCCGCTCGGCATTTTCTTACAGAGTTTGCTGGAGACGGAGCCGTGCGATGAGCACTACAAGACCAGCCAATCACCACTGAGCAACTTTAGGCGTCGCACAACTGGCGTCCGACCCACCCTGACACCAAGGCACAGTGAGCGAGCGCTGCTCTCCGATTCCACGTCCAGCTCAGAACGCAATTCGCTGGGACGGCTCAGCGGCTTGGTGCGCTGGTTTCGAGGCACGCCCAAAGAGGCGTCATCGATTGACCTGGAGATAGGCTCGCTAAATCCCGAGATATCTTCCACATTTATGCGGCATGCCTCGCTGAAGATTCAACGGGGTCGTTCCAGCGACGGCATCGGCCGTTCCATACAGCGCGCCAAGCGACGCGTCGAGCGACGGCTGAACCGTTTCGGCGGAATTGTGAAGGGCAAAAAGAAGGTGGGCGGCATCGAAGAGACAGCGGATTACAGTCGACGCAGCTCGTCCGACATGTGCGACGGCCCCCGCGAATCCGAGGTGGTCATACTCAAAGAGCGCAAATTGGTGCCCACTGAACCGGTGCGAGTTGGCATGCTCCGCTTATCCTTTCTGCTGGAGACATGTGCCCCAGGCACCTTTCCAGATCCTCAGCTAATTGCAGCCGTCTTGGATTTGGTAATGACATCACTTTCATTCCAGTAAGTTAAATGTCCAATACATTCCAATTACAGCCCCAAGCGCCGTTGATCACGCGTGCCACCTTTCTGCTGGAGTGCGCACACTTTGTGCATCTGTGCAACAAGGGTCAATGGCCCATTTGGATGAAGCAGAATGTTGGCGGCTATCGTGCCTCAGGCGCCAACATAAATCCCGCACAGATGAAGCAACAGGTCAGCCAGACGAGTGCCCGGCGCACACACATACTGCTGCGTGCCGCGGGCAAAATGTTTCATCAGTGGGCGGAGATGGTGGGCGCTCGTCTCGAGGAGCTGCTCTTCACCGAACGACTGCAATACGAGGCGTTGAATGCAAGTCTAACGGATCCAGAGAAGCAGCGCGAGCTTCTGCAGCAGGATGAGGAGGAGGATTTCCTGGACGAGACCTCTGTTAATCCGCATGGCAATGACTGCCCGCATGCACTCAAGCTAATTGCCTGCGTGCTGCTTTTCGAGATTACGGCTTTTTTGCGAGACACCTATATCACACTGCCCAAAACATCGAAGATGCTGCACCGCGACCGGCCTGCACCCTGGGAGAAGGTATACCGAGAGGCCAATAGACGGTGGTCCATGGCGCTCAGCTCCATGGGCCACTCGCAGACCTCTGCACAGAGCCTGCAGTCCATAGCAGCGGGCAACGATGGCGCCGGTCAAACGGAGCGCAAAATCTCCTTTGTCCTGCACGAGCCGGACAACGAATCGGAGAACAGCAGCAACACCACCCTAACCAAGGAAGGCAAGGAGGGCGAGGAGGGTGAGTTCTTAGCTCTTATATATCGGAGATACTACGGTCTAGGTTCTAGGTCTATAGTACCACACTTAATGTTTTAGATTATTCCAGCTATTGGGGGCTGGGTGCAGGGCATCTCCCTGTGGGCGAGTCTTGACTTAACACCCATTGACTTGATTATAATTATATTCATTAGCAGCTCGTCGTCCTACCGCTTCGACAGTGCGTCCGTTCCTGCTGCGACGCGGTACGGCCACCACAACTGGCGGTTCGTTTAAGCGTCGCTCGCTCAAGCTGCGCCGAAATACCAAGGATAGCAAGGACATTGAAACAGATTGTATGTAAGTCAGCTGATTCCATGGGACCTTTAATATATCATGTTCTCCCCTCATACAGTCAACATGCAGTCGCGGCGTAAAGTTTCCTCGCTTTCGGACCGCAGCGATACCTCCGAGCAAGGCGTCATCAGCGGAGGCGAGGAATCGCCGGGCATACTCAGCGATGATCAGCAGCCGGAATCGCCAACAGACTCGAATGAGAACGACGACACGGCCAAGAACATGCCCTGGCTAAAAGCTGTCATTGATCTATTAACCAGCTACAATTACTACTGCACTCACAGGGGCTACTGTCATCCCTTCTGCTACAAGCGGCACATGCGCTCCTGCACCCGGTTGATTAAGGCAACGCGTAAGGTAAGTCAACATGGATGTAGTTCGGGTCACGGCTTAAATTATTGCCTGTCTTGAGGTTAATTTTATTGCAAAACTTAGTTCAGTCTGAGCTCGACTACTTTTTTAAGAAATTGGATGAATGCTCGAATCGTAAAAAATAAAATTCGAATGAGCTTAAAACTCTGCACCCGTGTCGATATACTCGTAATTTACTATGGATTTTGCAGGTTTATGGTGAGGAATTCGGGTTTACTTTCGATGCGGATCATCCCAACGTAGAGCCCACAGTCATTAGCTCCAGCAAGGCCACAGCTCGACCTCGTTCGACCCGCAAAGTGTCAGAGCAAAGCTCCACACAAACGTCTCCGTCCAAGCGCAAGGACAGTTTGTCCCGTAAGGATCGGTAAGTCTTTAGTTAGCTTAATGCTGGAATTTCCTTCTTAAAAAAGATTAATTTGCGCAGCATCAGCGATGATCCGGACATTGAAATGGCTGAGAAACTGGCGCGCGCGTTTCGCCAGAAGAAGGAAAAGAAACTGCTGGAGGAGCAACCTATATTGAAGTTCATACGCATTCACATACGCAATCTGTTCCACTTTCCGCTGACCACCATGCTGAAAGGCGCGGTGGTGCTCACCGAGGAGCTGGTGATTGAGGCCATGCCTGCCGCTTGGGAGCTGCTTCTGGAGACCAACCACGACACGGCTACCTCCAGTGCGGCTGTCTTCCTTATGGGCTCGGTGAAGGCACAAAATTTCGCCTTTGACATTATGCAGCGCGCCCTGAAGCACAAGAATCCGGATATACGCATTGGTGCGATTCAGCGCTATCTAGTGCTTTGGAAGTGCCGCTTTCATGTCTGGCCACGCATGGAGGACAATGCACACGATGCGACCTTTAAGGTGCCACCAGGAGGCATAGAGTTTACGCTGCCCTCGCCCAAAATAGGCATCGAGAGTCTGCCCGTTGTGGATCCGCCGTGGATGCCCGTCCAGCAGACCAAGGATATGGATATGACACTGAACCAGGACAGACATGTGAGTGGACACATTTGGTTGCCAGGTATTCATACACAATTCTAATCAATCGCAATCCACATAGCGTTCGCTGGTGACCGCCACGAAGAGCCGCAAAATGCAACAAACGGAGGCGATTCGGAATGCTCTCCGCCAGCAGCGAGATAAACAGCGCGCAGAGAGGCACAGCTTTCTCATCACCATGATACCCATCAGCCAGCAGGCCTCTCATGAGCCAGGCATGGAGCATGAGGATCATGAGATAGAGGAGGATCTGGATGGCACACGGGCCTCCTCACACCTACATCACGCCCACTCGCTGTTTCCATCGGTGCTATGCTCCTCTGTAATGCAGATTGTGGGCTGTCTGGATGATGCAGCCATTGGCTCCGATGGCAATGCCGTTTACGAGGTGGCCTATCAGGTAATCTGGGTGTGCCTGGTTGAGGAGTCGGCCTTGTTCTTGCGCTATGTGTTCGAGCGCCTCACACGCGATCGCCAGGATCAAATGTTCAAGCTGTTGCGACATTTGATACGCTTTGTGCCGCGCCTGCCACAACAGGCCGCATTTGCCCTCTACAACTCCATCATTGGCTATATAATGTTCTATGTGCGCTCCTCCAATGAGCTCAAACAGGAGGTAGGCCTCAAAGCCAAACCCCTAGTGTACTTATGCTTATTAAACCCTATGTGTTCCAGCTGGTGGGCTCTGCCCTGTCCGTTCTGTGGATGGTAGTGCACTCGGTGCATGGCATCATGTTCAAGGATCTGAAGCAAATACTGCGCAAGGAGCAGTGTGATGCATCCATTCTGCTCACAGCCAATGTGCCTGCCGCCAAGAAGATTGTGGTGCACGGTCCGGCGGATGATGACTACAATATACCCTCGCAGTTTCCTGTGCAAGAGGACACGCTATTCTGCCAACTGCTGAAAGAAGCGTTAGACTATTATCCCATTGATGAGAAAAGCATTACGCATTACTGCCTGGTCGACTACAAAAGCAGTAAGTAAACCATACTGAATACGGCATAGAGTCGTGCTTCATCTCGCTGGTTCCTTGCAGACAAAATACTCAATCCCAACTGGTATATCCGGGATCTTTACTTCTTCAAGCGCTCGCAGTATCCAGAGGTGCGTTTAATGCTTATGCGTCCGGAGGAGTCCTTCCTGGCACTACAGAAACAGGAGCTAACGAAAAAATTTGTCGAAATCGGCAAGGTGCATTTAACCTGGGCTATTCTCAAAAATGTGGACATGGTTGTCCAGCGAGTAGTTTTTCTGCATGAGGAGCTGATGAAGTTGCCGTCGTTTCCGCGCAAGGCGCTCGAAGTGGATCTAGATCTGCATCATGGTGGCGAATATGGCAAGGTGCTGCTCGGTCTGGACGTGCTTCACAAGTTCATGTGGGTGCGCTTGATAGCCCGCATGTTTGAGGCCATGGCTGGCAACTTTGCCTACTCGGCGGACATACAGCTGTTCCTAAACGTGCTCTCCGGCGCATCCATACTGCATGCTGAGGATTCATGCATCATGCGCTATGTGATGGCTACATTCATCAATGCTGCCTTCAACTTTAAGAACATATTCTCCACGAATGGCTATTTCATGATCATGCCCACTTTGCTTCAGGTGTACTCCCTCCATCAAACCAACAAGCTGATCACCACTACCATCGAGTACGCCGTAAAACAGTTCTATCTCCTCAATCGGAAGCCCTTCATCCTGCAGATGTTTGGCTCCGTTTCGGCTATACTAGACACGGATGAGGATGGCACCTATGGCGAGGCACATAAGGTCCAATCCAGCTGCTTGTTCAATCTGCTGCTCAGCCTTGAGGATCCCTCACCGGATCCGTTGAATATAGCCGAACTGGTCAAGGAACCAAAACCCCTTAAAGCCATTGACTTTTGTTATCACGACGAGGACGACGATGTTACCGTGCTGGACTGCATCACTCTGTGCGTAATGGTCGTCTCATACTCGGCAGAGAGCACGCGTGGCTACCAAATGCTGGTAAGTATTCATTAATTGAAACAACGATGATTTTTGTGGATTGCCACACCACGTGCCCACTAGAAGTCTATTTTAGCAATAGACATCGAATTTTTGATATGGGATTTATATTTTTATATTTTTAATAACAAGTCCTTCCATTTACCTAAAACCGATAAATATTGACTTACCTATGTATACAGATTCTTCTATAACATGCGCTGTTCGAATTTCTTTAACTTTTCCAATACTACCTCAAATACCTCGTTTAATAGCTTCCGCCGTTTCCCTTTAATTGAAATAGGTGTTTATAGCCTTGATTTTAAAAAATTCCATATAGTCTGGGTAATAAACATGGAAGTTATTGTAAGAGAAATTTCCGTAAAAAATTAGGAATGTCTGTTATAGCTGTTCGAAGCTGGGTACAGCGTACAGAAATACTTTTACTTGCTTTACGTGGATTAATTCTCAATTGATTCTTCATTTTCATCAGATCATTTTGGAGGCAATACTGCCCTGTTATCTACAGCAGATCCAATCACCCAGCTATATACCACTGCAGGGAAAATCCGAACGGGATATAATACTTCAACTGGCCGTAGCCATCCGCACCATGGTGCATAACTGCGAGGGCCTGGCCAAGAGCTACAATGGGCCCTATCGCAACAGTCCGGAGCATAAGGGTTCGTCGCAGCGCAACTGCAGTCGCGGACCGCCCTGCTCGCCGGGCATGGACTTTGAGGAGGAATCGCATACGAAATATGCAACAGATCCGCGAACTAAAAACATGATGGACTCTGCCGAGGATTCGGAAATGATACGCACCGAGTACCGACGTCCCAGGGATGTTCTGCTCTCCGTTGTCGCCGATTTTCTAATCAAGTCCACCACACGGCTATTCGAGCTGGCCAAGAAGCTGCCGGCAAACGATAGCAAGCCCACAGAGGTGCTGGACGCCAAGTGTCACATACGCTTGGCAGATATTGCACATTCGCTGCTGAAGGTGTCACCTTACGATCCTGAGTCCATGGCCTGTCGTGGCCTGCAGCGGTACATGCAGTCGGTGCTGCCTCGGGCCGAGTGGTCAAATGATACACTCCGCAATGCTTTAGTTACGGTGCTTCGCCGTATCGACAAGGTGTTTCTTAAGATATCCAAGAAGCCCTCAATACGCCGCAATACGGATTGGGAGGCGGCCGCCGGACTACTCAAGGGTATACACGAGACAATCATTAGGCATCCTTATGTCCTGCACTGGCAGCAGATGAAGACTCTGATCTCAACCGTGCAGAATCTGATTGTCAATGAGCCGGGCAGCGGCGGCATACCCGAGGGTGTGTCTAGCGCAGGTGCAGCGCTCATGTCTCAGAATCCGCCGGCCTTTTTCTGCTCGGCGGTGGTGCGCCTGGTGGCGCTACAGGTGGTCAGTCCCGTTGACTGTTTCTCGCTGGTCCAAATCTGCGGTGGCAGCGCCGAGTTTGCCACGCAGGAAAAGGCCGAAGGATTTCTAATGCATCTGATCATGCCACTGTGCTTGAAAGTCTGCTCCGGTCGCGGCGTCTCTGATGTGGGCGAGCTAAAAATGAGCGATGTCTCTTTTCTGCTCACCGCCGTTTTGAATGCCATGAGTCCGCCGGCTGGCCGCACCGGCCAGGTGGTCTCGCAAATCAATCGTGTCACTGGAGATTTGCGCGCCGGCTCCTTGACCTTTACGGGCAGCCGAGATGCCAAGCGTCCGGCTCGCATCTCGGGCTCGCTTTATCAGGCCGCTTTCCTCGCTTTGCGCATCGTGTGCATCTGCTTCGAAAATCGCCTATCCAGCGAATGGCCACGTATTGTGCGCGTCATGCGTGACCTAGGCAGGCGCAACGAGGCGGCGCCGGATCTTTGGAGCTTCATGGAATTCGTGGTCACGCACCGCACGCCGCTCTACATTGTCCTGCTGCCCTTCATATTGCACAAGGTATGAACTAGATTGAGAACTATAATCATAATTCAAATTGTTTCTACTTTCCTCACAGATCTCGCAACCACCCATTGGCGATCACGAGCGACACATGCAGTTCATAATTAGAGAGCGTCTGCGGGGCACTCCGCCGCAGGGCGGGATGAAGTCGAAGGGTGCGCTACTGCTTGAGCTGGCCCGCGAGCTGCGCGACCTGCGCGACGAACTGGAGGACAAACGCTATGGTAACCCAAAACAATTCTATACGCTTACTTGACCTTATACCACGTCAGCCTCCACAGATCGCGAGAGCTCCGAGCAGAAGAAAAGCGATACGCCGGCAGCCACAAGCGCTGCGGATGTACACAAGTCACAGCAGAGACCCTCGCTGATATCCATATTTACGGGCACTACCACCGGCCAGGCCACACATTCGCATGTCTCCGCTGTGCCCATCGATTCACGCAGTGGCTCTGGCGGCATATGCACGCCCAGCGATACACTCTCCCAGCAGACGCTGCATCCACCACGTGAATCCCTGTCCAGCAGCTCTACGAACCGTGATCCACATACCACGACCAGTGACAGCCAGAGCGGCGAGGGCGCTGCGGGCTCAGCGCCTACGCTAGTGGGTCAAACACCTAGCTGCGGACCCAGCGGTTCGGGACATGGCATGACCGCCGTCTCTCCGCTGCCGCACTCGCAGTCGCTGCAGCAGGCGCCGTTCAAGGCACAGCCTCCCAAATTGCGTTTCGTTTCATCTGTGGAATTCCGGCACTCCTCCGGCGAGACCTCAACGACGCCACTCTCACCCGAGAGCCCCGCCGAAGATAGTTCAGGCGATCACACACGGTCGCGCCTGCAGCGCTCCAAGGCAGCCAGTCGCAAAACGTTCCGGCTCAAGCGCAGTCGCCTGACTCCCATGGAGCCGCCCAGCATTGTAAGCAATTTGACAATTGACTTCTTGTTTGGCTTTCAGCTAATCCAAAACGAAATCCACAGGTCACCTCACTCTCACAGGAGGAGCATCAGCCTAAGGCCATCGGCGAAATATCCTGGGACTCGGTCTCACAAACATCATCCACATCTGGCTATCGAGATAACAACAGCCTGCAGACGGGTCTACTCTCTCCGGACGGCTCGCTCGGTGGGCTCACACTGGGCCGCTCGCCCTCGCAGCACTCGCTGCTGATGGTATTCGAGGGTCAGGACGAGGACACGCTTATTTAACAATCACAGAACGGCGACCGAGCCTACGAGCTTTAGGACAGCCTGAACGTAAAAATAAATTAACCACAGACATTTTAGCTAGCCTTAACAATTCGTAGAACAATAAAAAAAAGTTCATGTTAAGTTTTTATACTTAAGATTAGTTGTTTTTCAGTATGCTTGTGTGTAGTTGAATTAGGAAATTAATAAATTAAATTGGTAGCGGTTCGAAAACTTGAAGTTGAACTTGTTTCCTTGAAATATTTATGATTAGAAAAACATAAGTGTTTTAATTTTGCTAATAAGAAGTTTCGTGACGAATAATGGGAATATTTTAGGTTTTCCTCCGTAAACACCCAAAAGTCTAAGAAAAAGGTAAGATTCTTTAAAGTATTCTATATATTAACATACATTAAGTACACGCCCGTGGAAAATTGAGTCTTGATCTCCAAAAATAATATGATTTAAGTGCATCGAATAAAGAACCAAGTGATGGAATCAACGACTTTATAAGAATAAACTTTCGTTAATTAAACTTTGACTTGCATATACCTCCGCATTTTTCGAAGAGTGCTTAACACTCATCAGATGAATTTTGACACAGATTTTTGAAAATTATTTAGAATCCGATCGGTTGATAACCGAAAAACCTTCATACAACCGTTTTTCGCTAACTAACCACTGTTGTGGGTAGAATTTCCATAAGTAATACCACTCGCATTCGCGGACCCATGATGCGCTCGCACACGGACTCCCACATTGACTATACGGGCGTGGATGAGTCCACCTTCTATATAATATATGTTTCATTGGAATTTGAATATATATGAGGATTATAGTAAAACTAATAAATCATAGTTTGGTCAAGATATCTAAATAAGCAAAAAGTGTTTCATACAAGAATCGACTTTTCGGCCGATCGTTCCTATGGCAGCTATTTGATATAGTGCTCCATTCCAGCGGGATACAACATATGTACTGAGTGCAACAGAAAGAGGCACTTCTGCAAAGTTTCAAAAAGATAGCTTTTAAACTGAGAGACTAGTTGCTATAGAAACAGACAGACGGACCGTCGGATATGGCTATATCGATTCGGCTGTTGATACTGATTAAGAAAATATATACTTTACATTGCCGTATATGTCTTCTATACACATTTCACGAAAAATTATAAAATAAAGAGAGCTTTGACTTAGATACTTCTATTGCACGAAAATATCGTGATCGATTCAAAATGTAGACTCCCCAAATTATATTTAACTTTTTGAATACCCGATACCATTCCGACCAAAATTTATGACAAGTGAATTTTTCTATACTTTTAGTCTAGTCCTTAACTTTGGTATTTACACAAATTTGGATGGATTTGAAAGTAAGCGGCAGGAGTCGGGTAATCCAGAGCAGTGCACTCTTACAAGTTTTATTTATATTCCATCTTAGGGCGAATAAGAATTTTCAGAGCTTTGAGAGAATTCAATGTATGCCAATCATCGACTTTGTTACTAAAAATATAATAATTGTTAATTTTAAATTTGTTAGATTAAGTTTTTGAAGTTATTTGATAACTTACCCTCCAAGGTTAAAGCCGTCAAAAAACCAATAGCCTGAATAATTATTTAGACTATTTTCCCGGTCATGGGACGAAAACTCAATGTTCACTTGACGAGTAAGTCTATCTTCAATGCCAGTGAAATAACCGACACTGATCAGCTTGTAATTTTCTGCTTCGCTACCAATAACGAAATTATCATACCGAGCCCAAGTGATTTCATTATCGAAAGTCTCTATGTAGATATACAATTCGCAACGCTGATAATTGGTCAGGCGATATATATTTTCTAGACCTAGGAAAAATTCTTTATCCAGATTGCCGAAACCGTTCCGGTAATCATTCCAATTTCTATTGAAATCCTCTGAACCATCGTATCTTCGTTGAATGAGAGTCCAGCCAGGTCCTATTGTGTGACCATCGCAGAAAACTCGAAAAGGACGTGCACCAGGCAAGTGAAGTACCTCGATTCCTGTATAAAAGCCAAACGGAGCACAGCTGGTTGCTTCCGGCCTTTCGATTATTGAATTTGACTTAGTATTAGCCAGTAGAGACTGGCACATATGCAGCTGGTCTTCAATCATCGATTGCAATTGTTGATTATTATTGTGAACCATTACTTGAAGGTTTTTGGCGGTGGTCTGTAATTCTATTATTTCTTGGTTAAGCTCCACTTCAGATGCGCCGCAGCTTGTGCTTGTGCAGTTTTTATTCAGTAGCAACTCGTTCGCCTCCCTTAAAGAATTAATTAGTTCTTCCTTGTATATATCCTCAATCACTTTTAATTGAAGCTCAGCTATTTTTTCCTTCAGCTGATTAGAATACTATTTAAATTATTTAGTTACGTCTATATTTGTACATTTTCAAAAATAGTATTAATTACCCGGTCTTGCGCCTGTATGGACCCCAAGAGCAATCCCAAAATTATAAATGGGATTCTAAAAACCATTTTATACACTTCACTACTTTTTGCTCATCAACTCTTACTATTCAGCTCAGTCGCACTCGGCGATAAAAATGAACTGACATTCGGCATCTAATTTTCGCTAATGTTTTAAAGTGGTCCTAATGCGATTAGAACGCAGCATCAAACTGTAACTTGAACCGCTCGAATTATTGGTTATAGCCTAAACCCATTAAAAATGGGTAAAAAGTGTTTGTGTGACTTTATGTAACAGGAGGATGCATCTCCAACCCCATTAAGTATCAGCATCGATAGCCGAGTCGATTCGAAGCGGTAGATTCTTTAAAATATGCACTTTAAATTTTCCTGGATAAATGCTAGATTAAGTTAAGCATTAATCATTTCTCTAAATATATATTTTTTTCAATGTTAAAACAATATAACCAGCTATATATCATATGCCATGAGCCATCTCTGACCTCCTAGAGTATATATATTTCGATTAGTATCATCAAAACAGAGCCTGTTTCTAATTCCGGCCCAGGAGAGCCTAAAACTTCTGCCTTCTGATTAGTACCAACTTCTGAATCGACGAAGCTATGGTCGTCTGTCAGTTTCGAAGCCATCATGGCTCCGACTTTCTGTTGGAAGCAGAACATATATTGGAACCATCCGAACTACTATATTAGAAAAATTTTATAGGAGCGATTATTTAAAAAGTAAGTTTGTGCATAAGAAATTTTTCCCGTTTCACACGATATCTTAAAAATCATATGAGCAAATCTTGTTCATATCGTAATACTAAAGCATACATCTCTAATAATAGAAACAGTCCAAACATAATATGGAAATCTTTTCTTCTTTAAGATACACACAATTTTTCAAATAAAGGTCATGGTGGACCTCTATCAGGAATACATTTTTACTGCTTGATTTTTGAACTAATAATATGAACAGCTGGTAACAAGTTAAATGTTTTCAATTAAAAATCTTACATATTAACTTATTAATTAACATTTTTTACCGCTGTAGCCGCCTTTTGGCGATTCTCCTTGACCAGCTTACGCCACTCCATCCACTTGGCCAACTCGGGCTGTTCGCTGCTGCTGTACTGCTGTTCCAGCTGCATGTAGTAAGCCTCGCGCAGTATCTTGAAGGCCTGAATGCTGTAGTACGGCTGTTGGGTAACGGGATCAAAGTAGCGAGCTGGCAGCCTGGTTATGGGACAAATGCCGCTTGAAGTCTTTGGCGTGCGTTTCGGGCGGAAAATCGCATGGAAAGCCTTATCATTGAAATCATTTTCAATGGTTACAAACGTACGCTCGCATTTGCCAAGTGTAATTTTCGGATCATTTGGTTGGATGTTGGTGGTGCGTGTAGGCATGTTTCGTATGACAGGCATGGTCATTGAATGATAGCGTATAGTTGGCCCCGTGAAAACTCGCTTGGTGGGACGCGTTTTCTTTTTCTCGAGCTCCATTTTTTGAAATTTCTCTGTAATCGTTTATAAAAAACGGTTTTAATTACATTCAGGCGCACTGATTGTTAACAAACCCAGTGATTTGATGTTCTCCTCCTCGGTTATCTTTGCCTCCTCAAGCAGCTCCTCCTGCGTGGGCATATAGTCCTCTACGCGTATCTTTTTCTTCTTGCGCTTACGTGCATCGTCTAGTTCCTTGAGCCGAATTTTTGTCGCCTGTGTTTTGATGGCTGTGGAGGTGCGTATAGATTTCCGACCCGAGTCCAATACTGTGAAGCGAGGGCGCACTCTGCGCTTGACCACGCCCCCACCGCCACGCTTTTTGTGCAGAGCAGGCACGGCTTTTGTCTCCTTCTTGCTAGCTGGTTTCGCCGGTTCCTATTGAGTGAATATTATATTTGTTTGCATTATTTAATAGGTGTAGCACAACTTACCTTATACGCTTTGGTGTTGACGCCACCGCGTTTGCGTTTTTTGTCGGGCGCATCCTCTTGGTCAGATACGGGCTCATCCTGTTCATCTATGCTGAAATCTGAATCCACAACATCCTCTTCTTCGTCTTTTTGTCTTTGGAAGCGAAATACCTTTAAATAAATTTCTTTCGACAGCGTCCGGCTAGACACAGTACTTACACATATTCCTTGTCGCCTTCTTCGTCCTGAAAGCCGCCATATGAAGTTTTATAAAAATCGTCCTCCTCTTCATCGAGCAACTTTGCTATTTTGTTGCCAGCGTTGTGGCGACGCGAGCGCGTGGCAGCCATTTATTATAAATAAATTGTTTTATTGTATTTATACAAACTCTTTAACTGTAAACAAACAAATTCAGTGGTATTCTGCTTCTTGCCAGTAGCATTCACTGTCGCCACGCCATTCACACAAAATAGCAAGGTGGCAACGCTGGCAATTCTATTTTCTGTATTTTAATACAAAATTATACAATTTAGGCATATTTTCAATGAGAAGGTATAAAACATAAGTTGCTTAAAGTTGCTTAAAGCTTTAATTAACAAGTTTACAGGACAATTTGTACTCTTGTCCCATTGTTTGTTCAGTTACAGCGCACCTAGATGTTGCCTTATGCCGAACTCTTTGGCTCTCTCCACTGTGAATATGTTGGCTGGTCGATCTGATTGCACTTTGGACTTTCTCTTTAATGTTGATTGTAATTCAAACTGTTTTCAGTTCAGATAGTTCAGACTCTTCAGATCGAGCGGTTTAAACTTTGGACCACAAAATGATTAATTCAGGAAAATTAGCAGGACGCACACTGTTCATTACGGGAGCATCCAGGGGAATTGGCAAGGCAATCGCGCTGAAGGCAGCTCGCGATGGTGCCAACATTGTGGTTGCCGCTAAGACAGCAGATCCGCATCCCAAGCTGCCGGGCACAATTTACACAGCCGCCGAGGAGATCGAAAAGGCTGGCGGACGGGCGCATCCTTGCATTGTGGATGTTCGTGACGAAAAGCAGGTGCGAACAGCCATTCAGGAGGCAGTGGCCAAATTCGGTGGCATCGATATTGTTGTGAACAATGCAAGTGCCATTTCACTGACCAGCACACCCGACACCGACATGAAGCGCTACGACCTAATGCATCAGATCAATACGCGCGGCACATTCCTTGTCTCCAAGGAGTGCCTTCCATATTTGGAGAAGAGCAATCACGCTCACATTTTAAACATTTCGCCTCCGCTCAGCATGAAGGCAAAATGGTTTGCACCGCACGTGGCTTACACGATGGCCAAGTACGGCATGTCCATGTGCGTGCTGGGCATGGCGGCGGAGTTCCGGGATCGCGGCATTGCCGTGAATGCACTTTGGCCACGCACTGCCATCCACACGGCTGCCATTGAGATGCTGACTGGCCCCGATAGTGCCAGCTGGTCACGTAAACCGGAGATCATGGCCGATGCGGCCTATGCCATACTAACCAGAGAACCCAAACAGTTCACCGGCGAGTTCTTCGTTGACGATGAGGTGCTAGAATCTGTGGGCGTTAAGGATCTCACCGACTACGCCTGCGTACGCGAAAATGCCGACAAGCTGATGGATGACTTCTTTTTGGAGCCCAAGAATGCGCCTGCTGATGGTGCAGCGGCGCCTGCAGCTGATTCTGGCGATGATAAAATACCGCAGCTCTTTAAGAAAATCGAATCTTTGCTTTCAGCTGAGATCGTCTCCAAGACGCAGGCCGTCTTCCAGTTCAACATCAGCGGTGCCAAGCAGGGCACTTGGTTTCTAGACTTGAAAAATGGCACTGGCGCCTGCGGCACTGGCGAACCACCAGCTACTCCAGACGCAACTCTCACCATGAATTCCAACAACTTCTTTGACATGTTCTCTGGCAAACTAAAGGCGGCACCAGCCTACATGTCCGGAAAGTTAAAGATAAGCGGCGATTTTCAAAAGGCTCTCAAGCTGGAGAAGCTTATGAAAGCACTCAAGTCTAAGTTGTAGATCATAAATTAAATCATTTATAAAAAGCAAACTCTATTGAATAAAGACTCCATACTATTAAATACAATCTATCAAACATGGGATTTGTACAGATTTCTACGTTTCTACTATTGCATTAAAGTTTATCATTTAGTTTTACGTGATTCTATGGGTTAGCAAAAGTTTGTTTATCAATATATTTGTATATATAAATAAAAAGCTTTGTCGCGTGCCAAACGAAGGTGGAGTTGCAATTTGAACACTGCAAGGTTTACGCCTGGCCACTGGCCATGTTACTCCGATGTTAATAGAGACAGCGTAATGCAAAACGTGCTAGTGCAAGTGTTTTATTCTGAACGGATTATATAGGTTAGAACTTAAATATATATTCCCTCAGAATCTTACCGCAGTCTTCCCTCCTACGGCCTTCTAACTCACGACAATAATGAGCTTAACATTTAAGTGATGGCGGCAACAAGCCAAATACAATGTGCCCGTACATTCACAGGGCAAAAATACATACTTTCAGAATATACTTAATACTAAACAATCGATAACTTAATTCGTCCCGCAACATCCCCGCCCCCGTGAAGGCCCTGCTTCACTCACATCCAATATGGCTAGTTTAGCCACGGGACGAGTCATCAGTCGCACTCGATTGCCGTCCGCTACGCGTACGCTGGCGCGTCGAGGTACTCCATCTGGTCCAGGGTAGAGCTCCTCCACTATGCCCCTTCGCCACTCCCTGCGTGGCACGGCTGGGTCGCATATAAACACCACATCTCCATGGCGTATCGGCTCAACGCGCGCACACCATTTCACGCGTCGCACAAGTGTAGGCAGGTACTCCAAGACCCACCGCTTCCAAAAACGATCTCGTAATAGCCGCGCTATGCGCCACTGCTTCCTTGTGGCGCATCTCTCGTCCGGCTGCTCATGAATAGTGGGTGTGTCAGGCAGATTGGCTACTCCCTTGAGTAGATCGTTCGGTGTTAGGGGGGCTTCCTGATCCACAGATACTGGCAAGTGAGTAAGCGGGCGCGAATTCACAACATTCTCGGCCTCAATCAGGAAACTCTCCAACACATGTTGCTTCGGTGCCACCTCCTTTACTGTGTGGCGAAGCACTCTCTTGACACACTGCACCATCCTTTCCCAGGCTCCTCCTTCAGCTGGGTTCGCTGGGCAGTTAAAAATCCATTCAATGCCCCTAGAAGATAGCTCACCCTGAATCTTCTCCGGCTCGAATACATCTATGAGCCTTTTGGCTTCTCTATCGGCCCCAACAAAGTTCTTTCCGTTGTCACTGCGCAACCTCAGTACAGGCCCGCGACGGCAAAGAAAGTTCCTGATCACGATTATGCAGGAATCAGTTGACAGGTCATGTGCCAACTCCAAGTGTATGGCCCTTGTTGTCAGACACGTAAACAAGGCAACCCATCTCTTTTCCTTTCGACGTCCGTTGGTCACAAGAAGTGGTCCAAAGTAGTCCAGACCCGTAAACTTAAATGGCCATCCATTGGCCTCCAGTCTGTCCTCTGGCAAAGGACCCATTATAGGTGGCGCTGGCTGCGCTCTATGTAGCTTGCACACACTACATCCAGATATTACTGTACGCAACACTCGACGCAGCTTTGTTATCCAAAACCTGGTCCTGATGTCGCCCATCGTTGCATCCACGTTTTGATGCTTCATTTTCACATGGTAGTGATACACAATCAGTTCCGTCAGTGCGTGCCGGTGTGACAAGATTATTGGCCTTCTCGCACTATGCGGTATACACAGTGCGGCATCGATCCTGCCATACGCTCGCAAGACTCCATTGTCATCCAAGTAGGGCGCCAGCCCTCTTATTTCGCTTCGATGACCGACTGATTCTTCATTGTACGAGGCTCGAACCTCGTCAGGGAATGCTTCGCATTGCGCTCGCCGTATCAGCAATTTCTCAGCGTCCTCACATTCCGTAGCGGTGAGGCCGAATCTCTCAAGTTCAGTCCTATGTCCACGGCACCAGCGCGTGAACCTTAGAACCCAAGCCGTCGTCCTCACCAGCCGACTGTAGCTAGAGAATCTCTGAAATGAAATGAAAAAGTTATTTGCTGCAACTAAGGCAAATTCACTCGGCATCTCTTCTTCATCATCGCAGGATGAGTGTTCGGTGCCCGGTTCGGGCTGCGGCCAGCTGCTTTCCGGCTGCTGCAAAAATGTTGGCCCGTCTAACCATCGTGACCGTTGGCTGAGGTCTACGTGGCAGTGCGGCCTCGTTGCGTCGTCTGCTGCATTTTCAGCAGTAGGTACCCATCTCCATTGGGTAACCTTTGTTGACTCCAAAATTTCTCCCACTCGATTTCCGACGAACTGCTTATATCGACGGTGGGTGCTGCCTATCCAACGCAGCACTGTCTTTGAGTCAGTCCATAGTATGGCATCGCTGATCGCTATACTGTGCTCCTTTTTGACAGTGTCCATCAGCCTCGTTCCTAACACAGCAGCTTGCAATTCCAGTCGTGGAATTGACATCGTTTTCATTGGGGCACATTTCGTCTTGGCACATACGAAGCATACTCGCACGTCGTTGTTGTCGTAGGTTACCCTTAAGTAAGTCACAGCTGCGAATGCTGACTGGCTAGCGTCGACAAAAACGTGCAGTTGTATTGCCCGCACGGGTATTGGGCCAAAGTAATGGCGCGAGCTTCGAAATCCTTCCACATTGTTCATATCCTGAAGCCATTTACTAAAGGCGCGGGCGATCTCATCTGGTAAGGGTTCATCCCATTGCACATTTCGTCGCCAGATCTCACGCATAAGTAACTTTCCAGTTATCATGAGACAGCTAAGAAATCCCAAGGGATCAAATGTTGACATGATCAAGCTCAAGAATTCCCTCTTCGTAGGTACTCGCTCCAAATTTAGCACACATCGGGGTACTTTGTGGTACCTCATGTTGAATTTGAAATCGTCCGTGGCTGGCTGCCAACACATGCCCAGAATCTTTTCTTCAGCTTCGCCCCATCCGATGCTCCTAGCAGCCCCATGTTGGCCCAGGGCGTCAGCTACGGTTGGCGAACTGGAAGTAAACTGGCACAATTCAAATCCAGCATTTGCATGTATTTCTCTTATTCTTGTTGATATGGCGATGGCGTCGCCTTCACTATCAAAACTATCCACATAGTCGTCCACATAATGACATTCAAGAATAGCTTTAACCGCGCGAGGGTCTGAATCCTGATACTGCAGGGCATTCAAGGTCTTCACATAGTGCGCGGTGCTTGGCGAGCATGCTGCTCCAAATGTCATTACCCTCATCTCATAAACATCAGGCTCCCGGCGGTCATCGCCGTTTCGCCACAAGAATCGCTGGGCGCATCTATCCTGCGGTCGAATCAACACTTGATGGAACATCTCTCTGATGTCTCCACAAACGCCAACCGCACCTTCCCGGAAATGGAAGAGAACAGCCGGCAGCGACTTGTAGTGCTGCGGCCCCTTGGATAATGCCGAATTCAATGAAATGTCACCGACCTTTGCTGCCGCGTCGAACACCAGTCTTATCTTACCGGGCTTATTTGGATTTTCAACTCCAAAGTGCGGCAGATACCAAAGTTTGTCGCTGTTGGCTAAAGCGACCTCATGATGCTTCAAGCGTCGAGCATATCCTTTATGAACATAATCGTCCATAATTTTCATATAGGCTCGTTTAAACTGATCGTTACGCTTCATCTTTCTCTCAATGTTGACCAATCTTTTGTATGCCATATCGTAGCTTCGTGGCAACTCAACATTATCACGGTTCCATAACAAACCTGTCTGGTAACGTTCCCCTATTTTCACCGTGGTGTCTTCGAGTATCTTCTGTGCTCGTGCATCGTCGCTGGCTGCGACTGGTGACGTAAGCTTCACACCGAAGTTCTCGATATCAAAATAGTCGTTTACCATCTTTTGGATTGCATCCTCCTGCGACACTGCTAGGAGGCATGACTTTGTTGACGTTGTCGTTGGTTGACCTCTTACCGGCCCAAAAACCACCCATCCAAGTTCGGTGGCTGCGGCATATGGTCCCTGTGGTGCAAACCTTCTTGTTTGCATTGGCAGTCCAAGATGCGCATGGTCCAGTCCAATCAGAAGTTTTGGTACCGCCCCGCGATACGGTTTCATTGGAAGTCGTGCACCGTTGTCCAACATTTGTACATCACGTCGATGCAGACTTTGCATCGGTAAGCTCAGGTTGGACACGGCGTACACATTTCGCAGCACATAACGTTTGCGTTTGTCCGCTCCACTAATTTCCATGCTTACCACTGTGGTCGGCTCCCTGGTTGCTCTTCCACCAAACCACTGTATATTTAGTTGCCTGCGTTCCCCTTTGACATCTAGGTCGCGCAGTAGCTCGTCGTCTATCATAGTTACGGACGAGCCTTCGTCGAGGAGTGCATACGTATCGATCCGCTTATTGGCCCCGTGCAATGTCACTGGCAATATGCGGAATAGTAGGCGTTCTCCATCCGAATCGACACAACTTAAATTCGTTTGTTGCGTCAATTGAGCATCCACTGGCTGCGGTGCCCTTGTGTGCGGATCCGCTGGCTGCGGCATCCGTCCAATATTCATCACTCTATCACCCGCTGGCTGCGGTGCATTGTGACTCATAGCATCATGATCATGTAAAAGGCGATGATGCCTCTTTCGGCAACCATTGACTTGACATTCGTTTGCCCTTTTGCAGACTCTTGCCATGTGGCCATCTCGTAGGCACGAGAAACAAAGCCGGTGCCTTTTAACAAACGTCCACCTTTTTAGCGGAGAGGCTAAGTTAAACTCGTTGCAGTCCCTGACTGCGTGTTGTCCATTACAGATTGGACACTGTTTGGTGCGACCTCGGTGTCGCCCTTCATTATTCTGGTCAATGCTGGCATGCAGCACTCTACGCTTCTGCTCCTTACCATCGACGTCCACAATCGTACATACCAAATTGGCGTAGTCCGTTAACCACGCGCTAAAATGTACGACAGTCGGGAAAGGCCTAATCGTAGCTGCATGTCTGGCCCACTCCACCCTCTTGCTTGGTGGTAGCTTAGCGACCAAATCCTCCATCAGTGTAGGATTCGCTAAATGCTGTTCTCCGTTAGCTGATCGTAGAAAGGCGGCAAGGTTACTCACTCGTGTAGCAAATGGCACGATTTTCGCTATGCTGTGCTCTTGAATTGGCTGCACCTCTCGAATACTAATTAGCTGGCTGCGTATTAGTTGTTCTGGACGGCCATATCTAAAACGTAATTGTTCCATCACGTTGTTCACATTCCTGGGATGTATGAGCAACGACTTCACAGTATCACGTGCTTCGCCTTTGAGTGCCTTCAACAATCGCTGGTTATTCTCCAGATTCGTACAGTTGTACGCCAAAGTTGTTTCCGTAAACGCGCAGAAGAATATAGGCCAATCCTCAGGTTGGCCTCCAAACTCGGGTAGATCTGGTAATTTGCGTAGCAGGCATACATCGTTCCTGGGTGTCGCCCATGCGAAGTCCCCAGTTGCCTGCGTTGGCTCCAAAATGATCACAGGTTGGTTCTCTTGTGCCGGCGTGTGGCTGAGCGTTGACTGCGCAATGCCTGCAGAACAATATGGCGTCGAGCGGCTTGATGTTGTAGAACAGTTATCCATAACTGTAGCTCGTTCTACCGTTTGCAACTGTGGTCCCAAATTTCCACTCAATGAAGTAGGCAATGCCTCACTCAAAGATGGCGATCTGCTCAAAATGGCAGTTCCACTCAATATTGCAGTTTCACTCAAACTAACACTTGAATTTGGGGCTCCACTCATAATTGCAGTTTCACTCAAACTTCCACTCGACGATGGCTCTCCACTCAAAAATGGCGGCAGGATAGCTGTACGACCCACGCCAGCATCACTCAATTTAACGGGATCAGTAACTGTACTCACATGTGCTTGACCAGTTTTTGACCTCTGCAACTCGTGCTCTAGCGCAGCGACTCTCTTTATCAAATCCATGACTTGAGCACTTGAGAGTTGCGTGCATGGGCTTGGCGCTCCTGTCAATATGCTGGCTCGTGCACTCACTCCTGCGGCCACAGTGCCGGCAGGTTGTACCCTTGTTCCCACATCCTCGGTGCTGGGGCTTTGTGGCGCGCTCACAGCGGGAACTTGCATTTGTGATACAGTGCTCACCATTCTACTTGTCCGCTTCGGTGGCACCTCACTCGTCGTGGTAATTATCTCCTGGCCATCATTCAGGCGTGGGCTTTTCCTGGGTGACCGTTGTGTCATCCTGTTCAGCTCGGAGATGACTTCTACTATATTTTACGCTGGCTGCGTACCAATGGTAACTCTATAACTGGGGTGGAGGCCCTGCCTGTGCTGTGTCTATCTACACGCACTGTAACTCCAAAGTTACACCACGTCTTGTCTCCAGTGCAAGTCGCCCTTGCAGTTTCTTACAATAAGAACTGCGAATAAAAGATCATGTCGCGTGCCAAACGAAGGTGGAGTTGCAATTTGAACACTGCAAGGTTTACGCCTGGCCACTGGCCATGTTACTCCGATGTTAATAGAGACAGCGTAATGCAAAACGTGCTAGTGCAAGTGTTTTATTCTGAACGGATTATATAGGTTAGAACTTAAATATATATTCCCTCAGAATCTTACCGCAGTCTTCCCTCCTACGGCCTTCTAACTCACGACAATAATGAGCTTAACATTTAAGTGATGGCGGCAACAAGCCAAATACAATGTGCCCGTACATTCACAGGGCAAAAATACATACTTTCAGAATATACTTAATACTAAACAATCGATAACTTAATTCGTCCCGCAACAAGCTTAAATAAACCCGTACCTATTCACGTGGCCACTAACGTAGATAGTATGATTGCATATGTATTGTCTTGTCATTGAGCAATGACTGAGCAAAAGTTCAGTGCAGAGCAGAGCATCGGTACTTGCCGGCGGATACCTTTCGCAGGGATAAATATAAACGGAAATACAGCTAATACAAATAGGTATTTGTGTTGATAACAAAACAAAAACATTGTAAGTACTATTCTGTACATCAATCCGTCGTACATCACCGACCAATGGAATATTGTCGAAAGTCAAATCAATGTGTAGTACATAAACCAACGAACTAATGCACCGGCATTGTCTGACGAGTGTTCAATGACGTCACTAAAGTTGAAGAATTTATGACGTCACAATTTAACGAATACTCTTGTAAAAAATACTGAACGTAGTTTACTAGCGATCGAAAGATCACCTACGCCTTGCAGTTGTATGTTATCTATCAGGTGTTAAACTTTATCTTTTTAATGTGAAACATCAAAAAGTAATGTAGTTTCTTAACAAAAAGCGATTATGTGTTTTTAAAGTTATATTATATCCATATTCTCTTTTTACAGATCTTAATAATATGGATGCTAGCAAAACTGCACGAATATTCATGCCAACGAAAAATGTAAATCTCTTGCTGAAAGATCTGCCAGCCAAAGAACAAATACGGAATTACACGGAAGAACGCGAATTGGGCAATAATAGTCGTCTGTTAAGCAGCATGGATCTTCATGATAGATGTGAAACGTTGCTGCAGGAGAAGGAAGAACGCCTAACGGAAGATGAGCTCGCAGACTTGTCCATTAGGGGCATTCCCAATAATCTAAGAAAAGAGCTTAAGGCATCTCTTGGTGGTGATCGATCTATCTCAAACAAAATTATTAAAAAAATTCAAGAGGACTGTGCCAGCAAGATCTCGCTACTTCCTGAGCTAAAAGAGTTCAGTGAACACGTTGCGGGACAAATTAAGCATTAGAATTAGGTATATATTTTAATCAATTGTTGCGGCCATTACTTAAATCGTAATGCGCTCAAAATAAAACACTTGAACGCTAACAGCCTGACATAAACCTTGCAGTGTTTAAATTGAAACTCCACCTTCAAATATAATATATTTTATTTTAAATATTTATAATTATTCAATTAAAATCAGCTAACGAATGTAATCATTAATTTATGTGAATAATTGTTCAAAAATACAAAATATCAAAAAATACAAAATATCGATATTGAAACAAAAGATTCAGGAAAGTCTCTATTTTGGAAAAACTTTGTTATCGATAGTATTATAGATTAAATGTCATCTCTACCTGGCCTGCGAACAGTCGTGAATTCATCATGCTTTTTTACGTGCACTAAGCAACCGTACTGTTTCGCTCGATGGCAGCCTAGTCAGCCGGAGGAGGCCCATGGAGCAGATAACGCCATCAGCACACAAAAGCTTATTATATATTGATAATTAAACTGCTTCATTATGGCAGCGTCTTCATCACACAAGGTTTGTAACCATATGGCGCGCGCTGCTATGGTAAACAAATACGAATAATATGTTTATTGACATTTGCACCTAGAGCAAAACCTTGCAGCTGATCAAATGCTTTTGCGGCTGCTCGGACATGACTGTTGCGGAAGTGCAGCGTATTTACACGCTCACCAATAGTGTGCATCAAACCCTTCTGGACAGTGCCGCGGCCATGCTGCTGCGCCGGTATCTGGAGCTTCAGCGTGCAGGCGACAAAAATGAAACGGAACAGTATCTGGACATCTATGAGAAATGCGCTGAATTTTTGCAGGAAGAGCAGCGCACATTTACGCAGGATGAAATCGATGAGCTCTGCGATTTGGGCCTGGCCTATGACCTCGAACAAGATCTGACCAGACGCACACGTAACGGTCAGGCCTCAGAGATAAAGCTGGGCCTCTATCGCATTCAGGGCAAATGTCGCAACGAGATCGAGGCGAGCAGCGATTTTCAGGACTTCAGAAACGCTATACTCGCTAAAATGCGTAGAATACCTAAATGATGCATGCTAAAGCAAGGAATGGTGCCTTTTGTGTTCATATTAAATATGGTCCAGACGTAAAAAATTCGAAAATTTCTTCTTAAACGCACTCTGCCTCAACAAATTTGATCCCAGCGCCTTTTTATGTCCAGCAATCGATTTGATTGAATCTAAATATTTAGTCATATTTGTAACGAAACCGTGTGACGCTTAGCTACAGTAGCATAATTACAATTTACTTAATTTAAGAGTTCCTCACAATGTGTATTATTACAATAAAATCATATGAATATATATGTTGTATATTTAAATCTCAATCTTGTTAATAAGCATATAGATGAACGTTTGAACGTCGAACATAAATGAAAAGTAAAAAGGTTTTTGCCTTCTATCAAAGAAATTGCACCCACATTATTTTTCTTATCATTAAATTCGACCGAATGATTTTATTTACCGCATTGAAAGCAAAGCTAATCCATATTTTCATATTGCTGACACATTTTGCGCAACTTTATCCCATATTTTAAAATTATTCTGAAACATGAATTAAATATAACGCAATCCTTAGAGAACATTTCAGCTTGCTTTGGCACAAGGTTAAGGTTAAGGTTGGGTTTGTTCAAGATATTTGATAAACATGCAAAAACTCAATTTAAGTCCGGCTCTTCCTATAGATCCACTTAATTTTCGTTCAAACAGACCTATGGCTGTTATAAGATGTAGAAGTTCGATCCTGCTGACATAAGCTTGCGAATCATAAAGAATCAAATCTTTGGCAGCTTCCATCTTTTTCACTAAAATTAGTGCTACAAAATTCTAGGAAAATGCAAATACAAGTACAAAATACTTTCGTACACATTGCAGCCGTACGAGCATCGCGTCCATATGTTGTATTTCTATATATGTATATATATTCTTGTGAAGCACATAAATTTAAAGGTAAACCTATAAACATATATATTTCGATGATGGAAATAAATGTTAAGAACTAAAATGCCTTGAACTAGGAGACGGAACCCTTTAGGTTTTCTTCCACGAATAATACATTTCCATGGGCTTGTTCACCTGCGAGGTGGGATTAAATGCAGTTTTAGTTATTACCCCAAAAATTGGCAAACGTTTGACTTACCTTCCAGAACTTATCATTGACCTGATGCAGCGTCTGGTTGCCATTCAATATGACCAACTGCTGTGGCTGCGGTGCGACGTAGATGCAAAAGTTGAGCAACCGGCAGGCTTCTGGCAGATCGGCGCCTAAATCCAGCGTTAGACGTATCGCTAGATACTTGCTGAGATGGTCCACGGTGGCATTCGCTGTTGTCTTTATGTACCGTATGCAGTTGTCCTTGAGCGCTCTGATTAGCTGATTATCTGCGGACATCTCTGTGGGATGCGGCTTGAATACCAGCTCGATCTCATCATTAATACCCAGCTCGCCATTGCCCTCGCCCTCGGTATCGATATTTGAATCGCCTTCGGTGCGGCAATCCATTTGTGAGTCCGATTCGGATTCTTCGGAGCGTTCCGAGGTCATCACAGACATGGCGCGTTTGGGCTTTGTACTGCTCGAATTCGATGGAACCGGGGATGGGGTGCTGCGCACTGATGGCGGATTCGATACATCATCCACTTGCATGCGACTTGATGAAGTGCTGGCGCCCGAAGTACCCGCCGATGTTGCAGCCGTGGGAGTGCTTGGTGTCATTGGCGTCGCTGTAACTGCGGCTGCCGGCCCAGGTGCCGCTCCAACAGCTGTTGCTTGAGGGGCATCACGTTGCTCGCGATCATTGCCATTTGTGTTGCTGTTGCTGTCATTGGAAGCGGTATCATGGGCATGCACTGCATTGGATCCGGCACGAGTGGCATTGGCAGCGCCAACACCGCCGCTATTATTACTCCCACCGCCACCGCCACCACCACCAGCAGGGCCACCGCCACCACCCTTGTTGGTGCGAAAACGTTGCGGCCGATTTTGTGACTGCAGTTTGATGCCCTCGTTGATGGAGTTGACAAGCGCCTTTTGTGATTGTGTTGGATTGAATTTGGCCATTATTTTCTCTTGGGAGGCCTCGTATTCCTCGCGGCTGGGATAGATTTTCGAGATGAGCAAATCAAAATTGGGATCAGCGCGCAGCGAGCGTTTCGAAACAAGCTTCTTGCGGCAAGTGGGGCACTCCTTGTTACCCGAACGCAGTGCGGTCACAATGCAGTCCGAGCAGAAGCGATGCAAGCACTCTTTGGTCGTCATTGTTTTCTTCAGCATGTCCAGGCAAATGGGGCACATTAGCTCGCTGTGCAAACTGCGCGGCGAGACGGCAATTTCTGTGCTATCGGTTATTATTTCCTGCGGCTTACGCTGCAGCTCGTACAGCGACAGATCCCATGTTTTATTTTGCGTTGGTTCTAGCGAGGCCATCCTCCAGAAAATTTTCTTTTATATTTCTTTTCACAATTTTCACTTCACTTTGCAATTATTCGATAGGGATGTTGCAGTGCGTTTGTTTACAATCGAAGGCATGTTATCGAATAAAAAGAGCAAACATCGATACTATCGCTTAGAGGCTTATCAACGCCTATCTGGCAACGCCAGAACTGCTTGCCCACATCTGTGTGTATGTATGTAAGTACATTATGGATCAAATGCACATTGTGCATTGCACTCTCTGGGAGTTTTACTTACAGCTAATTGCATTGCTTTCATATCCAAACATAATTTGACAATGCGTCAACACTTCAACTTAGGATGCTTGATTGACAGCCGTCACTCAAGCGCGCGCTGCATTCTAAAGCATTTGACAGAATCCCGCCAAATATGGCTTAAATATAGCATAGCCGTTAGCTAAATTGCATTCGTCAAGAATTTAAGCTGTGCGTCCCAGTTTAACATAGAGGCGGAATGGAAGGAATGTGCCAAATTGCCTGCGAGTTGACAATTGCGCACACTTTCAAGTCGCTGTGTCGCATGCCTCATACACTTTTCCCAGCCAAAGGTTTTTCCAGTCATGGCACAGTCGCTGCGTCAGTCTGGCATTTTCCATCTCAATCTCAAGCCCAGGTGACGGGGCATTTACCTAATGTGCATTTGCAATTACATACATATATTTATACACAGTATACACAGCCGACGACAACCGCTGGACATTCCGCGCGTGACATGTTAAAGCATTTGTCACCTGACAGGGCTCTTGTTGCTGGCCACTGCCAGAGCTCAACAGGTGTAAGCAATGCGCTTTTAAATGCCTCTCATTAAAGCGCCCAGCTAATATGCGTTACGTGTAGGCGTGTAGGCGTGCCAGAGATTTTCCCTCGACAAGCAACAACGAGAACAAATCGCTGCCAATCATCATCAGCATCCCGGTCATTTTCAATTTATCGTCTTTCCCAGCCGGCCTGTTTCGCCGCCATTGACCAAGTCTGACACCAATTGAACCATTGCACCCACACGACGCTCGAGGAGCAGCTCGCTGTCCTCGTTTCTGTGGCCAGGCTGAGTACGTGCAGGTTCATGACCCAAATGTTGGCTAAGCCAACGCTTCCTACTTTCAAGATGACTTCTAGCATTTTCAAGCTGAGTTTGCGCTTTATTGACATTAATCATTGGCAGCCTCTTGTTAAAATTTGCAACTAAACGTTTAGTACTTGCGACAGCATCCAATGTTGCATGCCTTTAATACCCTGTAATCATAAATCAATGAGTTGAATAGACTATAGCTGTTGGCAGGCGGCACAACTCGATTGTGTAAGATATATATTTTGTGAATTATCATAAACATTTTATCTTTTGTGGTCCTTTCCGAAGAATTATAGTTTTGTATATGGTATATTAGTCTTTCGACAATTAGAAATTTTAGGATTCAGAAGTGAAAAAAAAAACCTTAATTTTCTACATTATAAATATTCTTTAGGAAGATTTAATGTTTATTTTTAAATTATTGTCTTTGTATAATTTTAAGTTCGGGAAATTTTGAATATACTAAAGAATTGCATTATTAGTCGTCAATAAATAGCGAGGACTTTCAAGTTGAAATTAAAATACTTCGCAGTCTAGTGGGCGTGGTCAAAAAAGACGCACTAAACAAATATGTTCTTGTCACTATATGAATTAATGTAAGAATACAAATAATATATGTTTGTCTTGCAGAGTCAGCCGAGTGCACAGGGTATTTTTTAGTCATGAAATCTCATAGAGAGAGCGCGCATTCTTAGCTGTGTATTTTATGTCTTGTTTATGGTCAGTTGTTAATGACAATGGATGACGTTCCCCTTGGAAAACTGAGTGCATACCAACGAAATGGTATTTTCTTTTTATACGTTATGTTGAATGGCATTTCTTCTTTTCTCTATTTTTTCTACACTTTTTTTTTTTGGCTGTCCAGCTCAATCATTCGGCGCAAGACCGGAAGGATGCTCTGGCCATTTCTAGCTGTATTTCTGCTCTTCCTTTTTTCGGGGTCTCTGGCGGCTTGTCTGCGCCATTTTGTTTTATTTTTTGTATGTCTGCGCCATTGTTCGGCTGTGCCAAGTGAAAGTTTTGACTTGATTTGGAGTTAAGCATGAAATGTGCAAATCATAATTGAGCTAAACTAGCGTAATTCCAGCAAACATGACCACGTCTGGCAATGCTGTTGGGCGTCACTGCAGCAGCAGGCCAAAGCAATTTGTTGGCCGAGCCAAATTGTCCAGAGTATAGAGTGGCCAAGCTGCCACTTAACCTTAGTGCGGGCCTAGTCCTTAGCCTGGTCCAATTCAATTCAATTTTCTGTGTGAATGCAACTGTAGTGCATTCCAGGCCAGCGACAGACAGTTGCCATGTCAAAGTCAGCTTATAGCGGCACCCACCCAGCCACACACACACACACACGCACGCAGAGAACACAGCCTCAGCAACAGTGCTGCGCATTCAGCTATTATCTAGCTAAATTTGACTATTCCTTTATATGTTGACAGCCCTGCTTATCGCCTGATTATTTTCTAATCACTGATTAAATCTCTAAAGTAATGTACTCAACTACTTCAAAGAAAACTCCGCTTTCACATTGTGAATTGTGTTCTGTTATTCGACTGTTTGCAGCTATTGTGAACATTGGATTCCGCTACTTTTTTGTAGCGACAGCTGGCAACGCTGCCCCAGCGCTTGGCTAACAATTTGACAATAACGAGCTGGCCGAGTGCCCGCCCAATTTTGAACCCAAACCTGATTCCGCACCGTTGCCCGGTGCCTTTGTGCAGCGGCTGCTGAAGTGCCAGAGCCTGCCACCACACAACAATAATAGCAACAACCACAACAACACACAAGAACACACAACAACAATTGGACTTTTCAATTGCCTGCTGCTGTCCAAATATTGCCAGGTCGAGTGAACCACTGCGCGTGTTTGGCTCATTATTATGAAGCGCTCTTTGTCTTTGGCTTTGGCCAGGCCATAAATAAATCTCAATTAAAGTGCAACCCTTTTTTATCCATGCACTTGCATGGGGTCTTATAATTTTGTCATACAGTGAGTCCTCTCCAAACCCATCAGGTACACATATATTTTCTTGATCAGCATCACTCGTGATGCATTTCATTTGAACGGTAAGGTGTATTTACCCGATATGAGCAACATTCTATTAACAATCGAGTGTTGTAACATATTTCCACAAGTCCTTCACGAACTTTTGGCCGGGAAAAGAATAATAGTACGGTTGTTTGACATTCGAATTTGTATACTTGCCTGCAAGAGTATTTAATCTTCGCTAACCTAAAGATAACTGTTCTTTCTTGTATTTATTTGTCGGCAGAGGGCGTATATGTACGGGATAACAATCAATCAGCGGCCAAGTGAGTGGCAAGAGCAGGACTCAATCTCCTCCAAAGTTGTCTCACGTTCACACCACGCCCGAGCCACAGCAGACGGCTTTTCGGCAGCCATGCTTTATTCTTTTGTGTATGCCACCCCCACCACCTCCCCGCACAGCACCTCACCACACCGCATCGAACTTGCATACTCTTTTTTTGTGGCTCTACTGTCCAGCCTAGACTCTGGCCAAGTCGCAGTCACAGTCGTTAAGCGTGACTTTCTTATTGTTGTTTGTTGGCTTTTTGCATACCGACAACACCAAAAACAACAACAACAGCAGCAGCAACGAACAACGACGCGACGTAAACAAAAACCGAAGTTGCAGTCGCCGACGCTGCCGATCCCCAAACCCAAACCCGAAGCCAAAACATTGGCCACTTTGGCCCTGGCCGTGGCCGCTGCCCATTCAGTGTTTGGCGAGATTTTATCGCGTGCGGACGTGTCTGCGGCTAACAGAAGTGCATATATTCCAAAGCTGTGATTCATAACAGACATTCAGTTAACATAGCGACCAACAGATACGTTAATTTAACAGCTTGCAAATTAAATGCCTGCTGCAACTTTGGCGCCACCAAACGATGCGCTAAGCATACAAATTTGAGCAACAACAGCAAAAAAACACGTAACAGCTTATGTTAATTAAAATGATTGCAACAAGAACAATAACTTTAACAACAATGGTAACAAGAACATATGCGGCAACAAGCTGGCGCTGGCTATGGTAAGTACATACTGAATACAGTTTCAGCTACTGCGCCGCAGCCAAGAGAATCCTTTGATCCGATCCGTTTGCGTGGCAGCCACCGCCAAGCGGACGACCCGCTCTGCCAGCTGCTCCGTTTGCGAGCTGCGGCAGCTATATAAGTATATAGTTTATAGGGTATTTTAGGGTATTATTAGCAATGTTATTGATGACACCTACTCTGTGACCGGGTGCTCCGTCTGGGTGTGTGCCTGCGTGGTTTGTGTCTGCTTCTCTGGCTGCTTTGGTTCAGGCGCTGGCCTTGCCCTAATCTTGTTCCTGGTGCAATGCTGGTGCTTGCTGCGCTTCTGAGCTCTGTGGAAGCAGAGCGTTGGCTTATCAGCTGGGTGCGTATATAAGTAGCGTATATACTTGGCTTACCTTCTGGCCTGCAGTTGCTTAAGTTTTTGCAGCTTGGCAACTGCCTGTGCCTTAACTTGGGCTTCCGCCTCTAGGCGTTGCTTTTGCAGTTCGAGCTGCTTGAATTCTACCAGCTGATTGATGGACGCCACGCCATTCAGGAGCAAGTTGCTCTGACAACTCAGAGATCTCAATAGCAGCTGAAATACCCGCTCGTGCGGCTTCAGCAGCTCTTCCTCGTCCTCAGACTGTGTCGTCTGTGTAAAGCTCTCCCGCTGCTGCACCACAATGGCCATGGTCTGTGTGCTGCTGGACATGCTGGTGGGCATGGTCCTTGGATCTGTTTGCGTCCACCTAGTCTTGAGTTTCACTTCGATTTGTGTGGCGCGCTCCTCCAGTGTGCGGCGCTTTGTCTGACTGCTGGTGGAATGAAAGAAGCGTGTGGTGGTCTGCTGATGTCTGGATATCCTGAGGCTCAGATCCAGCGTGTCCACGGCGGCATGCGTATAGTGCAATACTGGCGTTTGGCTCTCCACATCGATAACCAGGGGAAAATGAGTTTCCACATTGCACATCCGACCGAAGCTCGTCTGGCTGCTAGCATCGCTGACGCACTCGATCCAGGTTTGGCTGGAACGCCGCAGTGTGCGTTGATGCCTAGGCTGGCGACTAGAGCGCGACCGCCTGGTTATGCGTTTCGCCTGCCTTATGGTCAGAAAGCCATTCTGCAGCGCATAACAAAGCATATAGCTGGCGGAAGTTTGAAATAGAGCAGTTATCCTTTAGCCGATCCTTATCGGAACTCACCTCACCTTGCCGCACTTTATGCGCTTGTGCTTGATCAATGGGTCCTCCGTGGACTTGGACAGTTGAACCAAGGCCTTTAAGTCTATTCTAAACATGGTTATAACACAATATTCAATTTCGACAACAAAAATAACAGGTAAAACAAGTATATAAGAAATACGTATGTATGTTATGTATGTGCATATATGAAAAACTATTTATGAAATATTTTTCTTAGAAGACAAATAAATTTCTTCTTAAAAGTATCATGCAGTATACTTATCTGGACTTGAAATGTATATTGCATAAAATAGGACATTTCCGTAACCAAAAGGTAACCAAATCATTCAGTTGTGGGAAGCGAGAACAATATCTGGTATTTGTGAAACTTTATAATAGAAGGTTTATCAGAATGTTCCAAGTGTGCCTTTGCTGTCTAAGTGTGTCTTTGCTCCGCGCAGGCTGACGAGGATTCATCCTGCTGACCTTCCCACTAGTTGGATATCCATATATTAATATAACTTAATAATTGCGAGTTCATTAGTTTCCTAAAAATGTCTAAAAGCTTAAATTATCTTTAAACGTAATATCTAAAAAAGTAAAATGTTCTTGATCAAATTAGAATCGGCCGGATAATATCACTATATAATATAGTTTATGTAAAAAAAACTGGAAAAATGTTTAGTGTTTAGTGAATTTTGTGTATAACCAACATGGAAGAAATGTTATATCGAACTTTTTTATCAGATAGTTCCTATTGAAATGACAATTCAGTTAATGACATTCCAGGGTATTTATTGTGCGTCAGCCCACAGATAACTGTTGTCTCTGGCTTTTTATTGTGTGTGCAATTGAAAAGCCAATCTGCTGAGTTGTGTCTGCGTCTGGCCACAAAATCTGTTCAATTTTGACACGCAGCCCTTTAAAATTTGTCTTTTCGAACACGCAAATTTTGTGTTGTTCGTTGTTTTCGGTTGTTTTTGCTGCTGTTGTTGTTGAGGTTGTTGTGGTTATTGCCCGGGGGCTCCTTTGTGCTGGTTACATTAATAATTCACATACGCCGCACATGCTGTCTGCCGCGCGCGCTCAAAAAAGGGAGCTGCATTCGATTATTTTGCCATTTATCTGTGCGTTGTTGGACCACAACTGGACCTCAGCTCAGGCCACGAAAACGAACCACAGCTCTGGGTTGGGTACGATTGGTGGATTGTGCTAAATACGTGTCGATTGGAATGCTTTTTGATTTGACTGCTGGGCTGGCATTCGGCAGTGCATATTGGCGTGCCATATGCCCAGGGCCGGAGAGTCAACGACTTTGCACTAACTACGGCTTGCCCCTGCTCAGGCATCCATCAGTGGCGGCAGCCTCTAATCCCGCCTGGGGGGCGCATTGGTTCTTGACTCACAATTTATGCCAGCTTCGATCAAAGTACTTTTATGCTCTTTTTAAGGGTATTGTGGCTAAGTAACTACATTTGTAAAACATTAAAAATAGGCTTTGTACATTCAGACAAGTTAACAGTCTGGCTGCTCTGTCACAGCGAAATTTCTGGCAAAGCTTTCGATAAGTTGCTATAGCAATTTGTCTGGCGAGGGCCTTACAAAATGAAATACAAAAAGCTCAATATCTGGCAAGGTTTTTTTACACTTCATTAAAACGCATAGATTTATAGAAGTCTGGCTGCTCTGTAAACGGCATAATTTCTGGCAACGCTTTCAATACCGACTGCACTGCATTTATAAATATAATCGAACTGTAATTAAATACTGCCATTGGATGGGAAAAAGCATTATAAACTGCATTGGCATTAATAAGACAGTATATTCTTGCTGTTCCATAAGCAGTGTACTTTCTGGCAACGCTCCCGATGGGTTTTGTTAATAAGCTAAACAGACAGGTGCACACCAAATGCGACGATTTGTTGTTCAAATTTCATTCTAAATCGAACATGAAATTATTGTAAGGGTATTTAAACTACGGCATGCTTAATAGACGTCTTGTTTTGATTTTTTTTTTCTTTGTGCTTAGAACGTTGCATGCATTATGTGTGTGAGAGTCTTCAGGCTGAGTCTTGTCTTGGGACCCACTGCCAAATGCCAGGCACGTCGCTTCGCTGTGGTCGCCTTCGGTTACATTTGATGCATAAAACTTCGTCAATACATAAGCATACATAAGCATGTGTCCAGTATAATTTGTTGCCAGCGCTGCCATCGGCCTCTAAAATGGCCAACTGCTTAGTCGGTCAATAACTTTGCGCCGAGACGACATCGATTGGCACAGCCTAACGATTTTCTGGAGCACTCTGCCAGTCCGTTACATTCTAAAACTCTTATGAATGTATTGTTGTTGTTGCCGTTGTTGTTTCTTTCAAGAGGAATTCTGTCACACCCCGTGTGTCATCGTATGCTTTTCCACTGAACCGAAGCGCATGTGACTTTCGTCTATGGCCGTTTCCTCAACTTTTCACTTTACACACATATTACATTGTAATTGACTCTAGTTTTGTGTGTGTGTGTGTGTGTGTGTGTGTACGTGCTCATTTGCATTTTTAGCCGATTTTCTTTGCGCTTTCTTCCCTATTATTGGTGGGCAATAGCAACGACAACAACAACAGCATCAGAACTTTGTAGCATGCACTAAAGTTGAGAGCATATCGTGATTTCCATCGTGACACGATCACAACCAACTTAACACGATTTATTCGTGTCAAGAAAATCCAATTTCGTGCGAGAGCGTGTCAACACGACTAATCACAGAAATATGAAGATAATATAAAATAGATAGATTAAACGTCTAACTATGCCCTCTTAATAATAATTATAATAAAAGAAAACAATATTTGGTAACTGTGGTAAAAATAAAAATTGGTTATTAGTGATTTTTTTAAGGTTTACTTACATTTAATAGGCGTTTTAAACATGATGCAATTTTGAAATATTTTAAACTTATGCGTATATCTCAAATCGGACTTTAATTAATTAATATTTATTTAAATCTTAATAAAAACTGTAAAATAACGTTTAAATACAACATAGTTGATATTATCTATTTAAGCGAACGTTTTTTAAATTGAATTTCGTGTTCGCTTTGTGTGTTGTTAGAAAAGCACGACACGCGCACATCTCTAGCCAGCACCCTTTGGCCAATTGTCAGTTGGGCCGTTTGGTCGTTCGTTCGTGTTGGGTTTACAATTTCAAAGAATGGCCGCTACTTAAATTCAGCTCAAAATGCATTCACTTGACTCTTGACTGGGATTACAGTGCCAATCGAATGTGGAAGCCGCTGACGCTTGATTGACCCTGAACCTGAGAGAGCTGGAGCTGCCCCTCAACCGCAGGCGGCTTAATCCCTTATAGAATTTCGCACATAAAATCCAAAAATACTGGCATATAAAAGAAAAACAAAAAAAAAGAAAGACAGACCATAAAAGTTGTTTCATTTTGCAGTTTATGCTGCTTGCTTTGCCTGGCTGCAGCGGCTCAGGCTGATGGCAGCGGGAGCGGTAGCGGTAGCAACTCCTCACCCAAGTCATTGGCAATGCCAACGCCAGCGACTGCCAAGGATGCCGCGCATATGTATAAAATCAAGAGGCAGGACAAATACCAACAGCAGCAGTTGCAGCTGCGTGCCAGTCAGAGCGATGTGGTGCCAGCTCCTTTGTCCGGCACAAAGCAACAAAAACAACTGACAAGAGGCGCTCATGGACTCAACAAGAAGCTGCTCAAGTGAGTATCGAAACGGGGGCGGGCTGTCGGGGCAGGGGGGCGCAACGCTCATTTTGGGCTTAATTAATGCAACGTGTCTAGTGCCAAAGAACAAGAACAACTGCAAAACTGTTGCACGTCAGTTGTTGCTGCAGTTGTTGTTGTTGTTGCTGGCGTATCTGTGCGGCCATAAATTATATTATGATATATTCATGGTAAACGTTTAGAGCTTGCCAGACAGAGACAGCCCCCTCCCCGACACACTTCTTCTAAACTCTATATATATAAGACTCTTTCTCCGTATTTCTCTCTTTCTCGCTCTGCGTCTGGTTCTCTCTTTGCCGCACTTGCAGCAAAATGGGCTTCATGAAGGTGAAGGCGCCCAATAGCCACAACCGGAAACGCTTGGCGGTTGAGTCACGACGTCACGCATCGCGGGATGATTCACACATGTTCATCATCAAATTGCCGCCAAATCTGCACTACTATACAGCGCCCAACAGCATGCGGAATGCGCTGGATGTGGCAGCAAAGGGGCAGCAGCAGCAACAGTCGCAGTTGCCGCATCAAATGAGCAACAGCAACACAAAGTCTCCGGCGACTCCAGGGGCAAGCGAGGCGTTGGCGTTGAAAGCTAACGGGAAAAAGGTAAACGGGATTCCATTAGGTTACACCAAAGCCATCAGCAAAAAAAAAAAAAAAACACAAGCCAGAATGTTGCAGTCGGATATAACCGACTGCCCAATACCCGCTCACACATCTATTCGCTTAATTTAGTGAGAGCTAAAGATTTCAATTTTCGAGTCAAAATATTTTCGAATCTTTCCAACTAAAGTAGCTCATTAAAATATGGATAATTCTATCTCTAAGGATGATGCAGATTTTCTTAAATTAAAGGAACAGAATGGGCGTGGTCTAAAAAAATATCCTTCGTCAATCTTTGAAGAATGGTTCACCTCTAAATTGATCAGCCTATCCTTAAAACTGTGGAATATATACATTGAGAAAGTTTTTGTATCGATTCTTAAAGGAGGACTTTGGAAGTTATAGTTTTCTGGAATAGTTTTTCTCGAAAATTGTATTTCTCTATCCGACGAAGATAAACCTTCAGGTTTGAGTCTCTGGCTTCGTGCCTTTCAATGGACGGGCAGCAAGTCGAACATTGCACAAACCCAATATACCCCTTTTCACTCTGCGAGCGAGTAGAAAAACAATGTAAAGAACGGGCTCTAAAGCTCTTGCCTCGGCCTGGTCGGGCCTGGTCTGGACGGGCTCGGTCTGGTCTGGCCAACTGATGATAAGCATCGGGCGCGCATGTGCACAAAACAAATTGCAAAAAACAAACACAAATACACGCACACCACACCCATACGGGCACTCACATACGCACACACACGCACGCACACCCAGTTTTATATAGACAAAGTAACATATAGAGGCCAAACAGAAAATGGATTACCCATTTGGGCCATTGCATTTCGTCGACTGCTGCAGTCATGGCTCACCCATATAGACAACACATATGTAAGACTGCTCTAGTCAAGGCTGCCCGACTTATAGACACCCTGTGCCCAGCTGTGCGCTGTCGTTAGATGCATATACATACACTTTCTTCTAGAATATGCTCTCTTAATCATCTTCGGTCCCATGAGCATACTTATTCAAGACACCTAGCCTTTATGTCCATTTATATTGATTTTGGGAACTCTGGACAAATAAATTGAATTTCCTAGCTTTCATAGTCCCTGAAACTTAATCGCTTCAACACATAGACAATCTACAGTTTGATGCTATTCAAGACTTTTTGCAGTCTGAAATACCTCCTTCTGTCCTTTACATAGTTTGGCACGAAACCAATATAACTATATATTGCAATTGCAATGGGTACAGGGTATAAATAGCTGGAGCGCACATGCACGTCCAAATGGCGACCGACTTACCAACTTCGGGCACAGCTTCCAGACACTGTTGTGGCAGTAGCAGTAGCAAAGGCTGTGGCAGTGGCAATGCCAGTGACAGGCACTCCACAGTCTCAGCTATTTATATACGCACAGCAGATGCCATTGCAGTTGCAGTTGCAGTTGTTGTTGTTGCTGTTGTTTTTGTAGCTGTGTCAATGTCAATGTTGTTGGATGCGGCAAGCATAAAAATTATTACGCTCTCACGGCTCCAGCTGAAAATAAATATGCAAGCCATGGCCATTAACCAACTTCAATTAAAAATGCAATTTGTTAGAGACACTCGTTGACTAATTTATGGCGGCGGCCCCAAAAGCCGTGGATATGGCTAATATTAATGTTAATGTTACTGTTACTGTTATTGCCAGACGCGTCTAATCAATATGCATGACGCATTGCATGGCTCGTTTCTGTAAACATTACTGTTACTGTTAATTTAAATGCTGTTGGTAGACGCATCTCGTCAATGTACTGCCATGTCGCTTTGCAGCTCTCGTTTCTGTAACTGTTACTATTACTGTTAAAGTTAATTTCAACGATATTGTTAATGTTAACCAAATGTTATTGGGAAAGGCATCTCATCAGGTCTTGTTTTCGTTTCTGTTAGTTGAAATGTTAATTGAATTGTTATTGGTATACGCCCATCTAATCAATATACATGACGCATTTCAGGTCTCGTTTCCGTTCAGCTCGAATGGACGACCAGGCCGTATCTATCATTGGAATCTGCCCGTCTTAAAGCAGGCGCTGCACAAGAAACCGCATTTTGCGCACGTCTCGGCCGAGGATCGCAATCGTCTGCTGGACATTGAGAAGATACCGACATGGCGCAAACCCTGGGAGAACGATACCATCGAGAAGTCCTTTACGGCGGGCAGCGGCAAATCCAAATATAAGAAATCGTTGAAACAGAAATCTCCCACATATTATGCGCCCGCACAGGCGGTTAACAAGCAGAGCTTCCATAAATATTTTGCGGGCAATGGCAAGCCGAAGGGCTTCTACGTGATCAAGGAGCATCAGACAAAGCCGCAGTTCTACCAGAATATCATATCATAAGTTCAACTTTCACATTTTCTTTGTATTCCGCTGTCGATTGACCTGGGCATGCATCTATAAGACTGTGGTGTGGGCATTTGCTAATAATTATATATATTTTTATTTATGTACCACTCGTATAACTATTTAAATATCAGCCTATGGCTAGTAAAACTAACTGCGAGTAGAGTTCCAGTCTAATGTGGACTGTTTTTATTTCAAACATTTTTCCGTCCAATTTCTGCAAAAGTAAAAATGTATTTTTTATAAAAAAAAACTGTAACTGTGCTTGTGCCACCCCACGTTGGGCGCCACAAAGGCAACTGTGACTAACAATCAACTGGAATTTATTATGAAATAATCAGCTACTCGTATGTTTAAGTGCATGTACGAATTTGTTTAAACAAATAAATATGACGACTGATTTAAAAAACACAATTGTAATTATAATGCGTTGTTGTGGGTTAAAGGAAGGCACGAATCGCACCTTTTATTTTAGGCATATGGCTAGCTGTTTTGCCGATATGTGGAGATCGGAGTTTCTTATTTTAAATTTAAAAAAATAAGTCTTTTCGATCCATTTAATTTACAGAAACGAAGATTTTTCATTTGGTTCATTGATGTGGGAAACCAGGTTCCCGAATCGAACCTAGAGGCAAAATTAGAACCTTGGACCAAGCAACAAAATATTTTTTAAGTACCTGCAGCAACAGTTTATTGACACGGGCACGCGGCCGAAAAAAAACACAAAGAGTTGACAGCAGAGTGACAGCAGCTCGAGATACAGATACATTATCTGAAAGAATACCTAAATGGCGCCTGAGAGCAAAGCTTGTACATGTGTATGTCTTTATTCTTATTTTTTGGCAATTGCCTGTAGCTGCTCAAGCAGCGTAACGTGGGCAATTTTGTTAAGAATTTTTGCTGCTTATTATACGCGAACTCGAAATCGGAGATCGTAAGCCTGGGAGTGCGCTGCCTAAGCCCCAAACCAGAGCTGCGCAGCCGCCTGGAAACGGAAACGGGGCGAGTGCGAGTAGGTGCGCGCGCATGCGCAATATCTCATTTGGCAGATAAAAGCTTGCGCTCTAGAGATACAGATACAAGCTCACATGGGTAAGCAGCACAGCGAGTCGCCCGAGTAATAAGTAACAATAATAATAATAACAATCATAATGATACGTTCGCAAACGACAAAAAAAGTCAGAGTAGGCGCACCTTCAAACTGGCGCATAAATAATCTTGTTGACTCTCTGCCCATTATACACTGTTTGCGAAGGGCAAGCTGGGCATATGGGTTTTGTGCAACAACAAAACAATTATTTTTATAAATCAAAAAGATATTGTTTTTAGCCAGACCATTTATTGACAAAATTGGTTTCGGGTTTGTCTGGACATGGTTTTTATTCCTGGTTTCAATTTAATACTGGGTGCGCAACAGTTAGGGCTAAAAGCCTTCGAGCAGAGTATTGCGCAGTCGTTGCAATGTGCATTCGCGTTTTTTGGCGACTTTGGCGCTTAATTGTTTTCTTGGCTTGGCTTATGCTTTTCCTTTGCTGCTGACTCACGTACATTGAACTTTTCACCCGTGCCTGTAGACATCTTAAGTAGATTTAATGACTCGTTGTTTTGTGTGCAGGAAAAAAGCTTAAAGAATGAAACATAAATCACATTTATGACAAATGCCGTCAACTGTTGCGCCCGAGCGGGGACTTTTCAAAAGTCCGCCAGGCTCCGATGGATGCTTTTGCTTTATGGCATTCCTGAATGCAAATTGCCGTGCTACGACAACAGTTATATCAGGCAATCAAATGCCACATTGCAGTCAGATAACATTCATTGGTATAAATGTGGCATGGCATAAGCTAAGTGAAACCCCAATCTCCGAACTACAAGTAAAGCGTCTTGATATCAACGCACTGGCCGCTGCCAGAAGTTGCAACTTGTTAACGCCATTCCATTTCCGCCTGTCATATCAAAATAATTATCTCAAAGTGTTGCTTAGACCAAGTCCTAAGAACCATGACCACGATATGCGGCGGTATCAACAACAACAACAACAAACAACAACAACAAACAAAAACAACAACAACCGTCGTAGCAGCAGCAGCAGCAGCAGCAGCAGCGGCAAAAGCAATCAGTAACGGGCAAGTTTAGTTTGCGTGCGAGGAGGCATTGGTGACTACAACTTGATCTGCAGAACTTGTTTTACACGCAATCTTGATTGCAATTATGTAATTCCGAAATGTGCACTAATTAAAATAACATTTCACTAAATTGTATTTACATAACTTTGGAAAGTGCTTATTAATTTGTGTGCATTTATTGCTGGCATATGCCATTGGGTGGTAAGCAGTCGTTTGGCAGCTCATTTCACTTAAAATGGAGCAAAAGCGGGCAATCAGATTTTAGCATTTACGCTAAATTAAATTATTTAATTGCCATCTAACTCATACATTTAAATTCGAATTCAAATTTAACTGATTCGGTGGCGCCATCTATTTACGATACGTCTGGCTACTTAGTTGAACAGAGCTGCCACAGCGTTCGTCGATAAAAGTATTTTCAACAATTATCGATTCTTATCGGTGTAACATTGGCACGGATGAATTTAAGCCCGGCAAAGTTGCCACACAAATTCACAGTAAAATTACCCATATGGCCACATATTTAAGCTCCAACCTGCGCGACATAATCCTTAACACACATGTTCCCCTAGTTTTCCCAGACTTTCCCATACACTGGGAATGCTTTGATGACTCGCTGTTGGATTGGTGTGCTCGCTATGACAAGGATGCAAGTGTCTCCAGTTTGCCGGCATTTGAGAGCATGGCCATCGCAGACTGTGACACGCCACAATGGGAACGGAAGCGAAAGCGTGTCAAAATGACGATGCACAAATTTCTTCATGATTTTACAAAGGAAGGACAGGAACCGACTGAGTGGGCCGCTTATCAATATGTACGTGCCGGCGAAATACCCGCAAGCTGCCTGACGGGCATTGATTTCAAATGCTTTGGATTTGCAGAACACCAGAACGACTATAGCCTCTGGTTGGGATCGAAATGCGCTAATACACCGTGCCATTATGATACCTATGGTGTCAATATCGTGGTGCAAGCATACGGCAGCAAATCCTGGTTACTCTTTCCGCCGGAGACTGCATTGCAAAGCTCACGCATACCCTACGAAGAGTCAAGTGTTTACTGCTTGGAGAACTTCTATGCACCCGCGCCAGACAAACTGAGCCACTACGAGCAATTCCAGGGTCAGGCCTATCATTGTCTGCTGCATCCGGGCGATGTGCTGATTGTGCCTCGTCACTGGTGGCACTATGTGGAGGCGGTGGCGACGTCGTTGAGCGTGAACTATTGGGTGCCGCTTAAGACTGACCTGGACTTGATCCTAGATGAGCTCATAGTCAAACATGTTGTCGAGAGCTTCGTTAAAGGCGAGAGCGATCAAATGAAGCAGTATTTATTGAATCCCAATCAGCTGGACGAGATCGCCGACTCTGCTAGCTCACTCTTCAGTCAGTTTGAGCGTGCAGTGCAGGATCCAAGCTCGGCAAGCAAACGGAAACTGTGGGACGCTGAGTATTTGGGACAGAGCGAGGTGTTTAAACTCCTAAGCAGCGTTGAAGTGCGCGTGCGTGCCCTGGACGTAATGTCCAAGGAGGCGTACACTCAGCTGCTCTCAAACAATGCCAAGCGGCATGGCGCAACCCAGTTGAACCGGGAGGATAACATTATCAGCTCTACGCTGGAGCAGCTAATCAATAGCATGTGTGCGCCGCGCTGCATTGCGACTATCAAAAGGGAGTTCTTTCGCCGGCTGGGCCAAAATCAAAGAATATAGCGCTATGACGGAACGTTTATTGTGATACGTATATGAGATTAAAATCCAATAAGCATTCATTTTGTTATATTTGATACAATTTGCAACAGAACCAAAAAGGGTGGCCGGGGTGCGCGCATTAAATGCCATAACCAATCCAGGTTTAGATAGAATCTAGATTCACGAATAACATATAGAGCCGCAGGCTAAACACAGATTGAGATAATTGATGTGGAATAAAGCTCGTCAATTTACCAACCGGGCGGTTTCTGGTTGGGATAGCCGCCCTGTTGATGTGCAAAACTGCCGGGATAGGTGCCATAGTGGCCGGGCGGGGGGCCCTGAGGGAAGCCACCATATTGATAATCTGCAAAATATACGAAAATACCGTTAAAGCTAGCTTCATTTAGGCAAAGATTAGCCTACTTACTGCCTGGATATGGGAGTGTGGCATAGGGATTGAAGCTTTGCGGCATGGGCGGTGGCACATAAGTGGGATACGGCACATTCGAAGAGGCGCCATACGGTACTGGCATGTGCACTTGAGCCGGATACGGCACATTCGCTGCGGCAGCTGTTGCGGGCGGAGCACCAGCGGGCACGTTTGGAAAATCTGGAAATGGATTAAATAGTTAACTTGAACTCAAACAGGATTTGGATATTAAATACAACGCACCACTGCCGCTGCCCGATGTAGATGCATAGTGTGATGGCAGAGCCGGTGTGGCCGGCGGTGCCTGGCGACTCGATTCAGTGGTTAGATCCTTGAGCAGCTCTTCCTTTTCGGTTTTGCGTGCAAACACAAAATCACTGATCTTATTCTGAAACACAACCAGCAGCTGGGTGAGGTCATTATAAAACTTGGTGCCCTCCTGCAGATTGCCCGACAGCTCGATGTAACTGTCGTAGGCGGTGGCCAGCTCCTGGTACAGTTTGTCGCGCGAGCTGCCGCAGTTGCCCGTCTCGGAGACGAAGGCCGCATGAGCACTTTGAATATCGGCGACCAACGATGCCTGCCGTTCCACGCTCTCCTTAACCTGTGCCTGCAGTGGGTTCAGCACTTGGCCAATGCGCGCCAGCGACAAGGCAGGCTCATCGATGGCACCATCCTTTTGCAGAGCAAGCAGAAACTCGTCCTTCATATTGAACGTGGCCGACTTCAGTTCCGATTCGACAGCGTCGCGCTCCGCTTTGATGGTCTCAACAGCTTCCATTAGCTGCTTTAGACGCACCACACTGGAGCAGTTGGGATCCACGCTGCCGCTGGCCGAAGGCAGCGACTGTTGTATCTGCTCGGGCGGCAGGGAGAGCAGCTCTATGCCTTTCTGATTAGCCTCGAATTTCTGGCGCACCACCTTATCGGCCTCGATGGCATTGGTGATGACCTCGCGATACTTCTTGGAATTAGTGCGGAACATTTCGGTCAACTTGTCCGAGCTGATGCGTGTCCAGCGCTCCTTAAACTGTGCGCGCAGCTGATTGTCCGAGTCCCGCTCCTCGTCCAGCAGCCGCTCGGTTTCATCTAATATCTCGCGATTGCGATTGAGCAGCTCGGGCAAATCCTTCAGTAGTGTCTGCACATTTTCAATGCCGCCCTTTTCGCGCACCTCATGGGCCTTCTCTCGCAGTGAAGGCGGCAGACCGCTGCTGCCGTCCGTTATCTCGACAGCAGCCGGCAGATTCAAGCTGGCCAGCACAGCATTCAAGGTCTGGGTTGCATCACGCAGCTTCATGATTTCCGCATTGACAATCTCGTTCTTGCGCATATCGGAAGCGGTCAGTGCGCGATGCAGCTCAACGGGCACCAGATTGCTAAAGATGTCCTTAAAATTGCCAGACATGGGCGTGGCTATGGGCAGCGGTTTGGCCAGCTGCGCCTTGCCGGGCGAGGCCAAGGTACTCAGCTCTGGTATCATTTCATTGTAGATGAACTCATTGTCCTTGGTGGACTCGGCGAGGTTGCGCTTGGCGCGACTGAAGTACTCATCCAGGTAGGTCTCGTTGCCGCCACGGGACTGGGCTGCTTTGAACAGATCGATGGCGTTGCGAAGGCGCGCAATCTCCTCGCCAATCTTTTTGGACGAACGACAGACCAGACTCTGATACAACTGCGTTAGTGCATGGAAACCTGCCTGCTTGCCAGCCACTGTGGGTATCCACTCCTTCTCCCAGAGACTGCGTACGGACTCCTTTTGCATGGCACGCAGCACATCAGCATAGAATTCCTCAGCCTGACAGCACAGCTTGGCTATGATTTGTTCCTTCATGTTGTCTGCGGAAAGTGGAGTTTATTAGTAGCGAATTATATTTGTCTGTTGGTGTTATTTCACCCTTAATAGCCTTCAGTATGAACACCTCCTGAGCTTGTGCCACCATCAAGGCCTGGAGCACAATCAGCGTATCCTGACTCAAGTCTGGAGTGGGCTCTGAGGGCACCGCTGCGGGCGTGGCGCCCTTTAAATATTGGAAGATGCCAGCGCTTTGCTGCAGCAGCTTGATAGCCAGCTTGAGACCCTCATCCGTGTCAAGCTGCTGACTAGAAGCCACACTACTCTGCAAGGCGGCAATGTTGAAAAGCACGCAAACCTTCTCGTACAGCAGCGAGGTGTGAGCTGAAAGTTAAGAAACTTTATTAAACCGGTTGCTTATTTCGCCATAGGCACAAGACTTACTCAGACTGATTTTGCCACCGAAAATGGAGCCCTTGTCGAAGGCATCTTTCCACTTGAAGGGTATCTGCAGCTCGCCAGCGGATATCTTTGTCTCTAATGCGCATATTTGATCGTAGTAGCTAAAATAAATAAAAGTGAAACCAAACGCCAGCGGCGCCTCATTAGAGACGACGTCATCCGCTTTTTGATTGTGTTTACGTCTGGGTAAAGCTAGCTCTTTCATACATGCACACTCCCTCGCTCACAGAACACAACACACACACACTCACACACACATACACATACAATGATTAATTACAGCTACTTGAATGCTATCAACCGCCATGAGTCATGGAACAATTTTAATATCAAACCATAAACAAGCTATCAGGAGCTATCTTAAACCTGATCGCAAATCAGACTTACGCATAAACGACTTCCAGCGATGCCTCATACTTTTCGAAAAACTTCCAAATTGCCGTATTGCGTTGCTTTGAAAACTCATTTACTGCGTCCGCATACTGCGCCTTCTCCTCGGCGCTGGCACCATTGTAGGTGCTTTGTATGAGATTGTTCAGAGGCTTTACTATGTCCACCTCTGACGGCTTCTTCAGTGGCACACCCAATAGTTTGGACATCTTGTATGTTAATTTTTGCTACGAAATACTAGTTAAATTTAATTTGCAGACGGAAACTAGATTTTCTTCTTTTTGTCTGTGTTGCCCGTTGTCTCATCAACAGCTGCGGCCAGTGTTGTTGAACATTTAGACAATTGGTGAGTAATTCTGTAAATGTGCCGCGCAGCGTTAATAATATAACACTTCTGTTAACTGTGGAGCAGTTCTTACTAGTTGTGGAGTAATTCTGTTAAAGGTGCAATTTTTTCAGAAATTTTTCAAAAATGTATACAATGTTTGAGAAACATTTTAACGGCTATCCAAAAAGAATGTAGCTTTATTGCGCAATCATCTTTTTGTGCATCTAATTCTTAGCAATATATAATTTTTTTCTACATGTGACCTGTGCATATTTTAACTACCAATTTGATAAGTCCATCCAGAGATTTGATGATACTTATTTAAACTGTTCAGCAAGATTCATTTCACGCACTATAGTAATAATGCTGAATGCAAACTTGGCCACCTAAAATTGATTTAGATATTTATTTAAATTATTTGGTAATTTCAGATATTAGCTTACGCTGATATTGCTGTTCATTGTGATGGGAATAATGCCACCCGCCATAAACATAATGGGCTGTTGAGCTTGGTGCATGAAGTGAATCAGTGTGGATTTATAACGAGGCTCTGCATCAATCCACTTAGATTGAAAAAGCACGTTTGACAAGTCATCGCAGTCGTCTAGGAGCCAATTGCAGGTATAGCAGAAGGGAAACGTCTCCATGAGTACCGCCACGACAAACATGAACGAGGCCAGGCCACGCCACAAATTTGAAAAAAAGAATACGTTGATCAGGGTCAGACCCAAGACGGAGCCAATGAGTCCAAACTGCACAAATATTGTGCCCGATATTACTGGGCGTAGCATATTGCAGCATCTGGTACAAAAGAAAATATTGCAAGGAATTCAGGAGACACAATCTGGCATGCGTCAAAGTCTTACTCCTTAATTTTCTTGTGATCCTTGATGCAATTGACTATCTCCTCATAGTTGGCCTGCTCAGACATGTCGGGATCCATGCGTAGATTGCGCACATGATCCTTTAACACATCGAAGTGTCCGCGAATTATTATGAGGAATACAAGCAGATATGTGTCCGCCAATTGATCTGTCATTACCGCAAAGGACATTATGATATACTCAAAGATCGCTTGTATCCACAAATTACGCGTGCTCTTGTGCCAGTCAAGAAACGGATTGTACACTGACCATGGCGGCCTGCCGCTGAATACATAGGAGAGAAATGTGGAGCCCACATAGACACAGTATACTATGGTGAAGATCAGAAAGACCAAATTGCTGCGCGCCACTATAAGGTGCATCTTCTGGCGATCACTGTCGCTCCGCGCCCGCTTGTCCAGGCCATCCATTATGTCCTCTGTCTTGGTGAGACGCCACAGATTACGGTACAATATAGTGGCCTTTACCGCGGTGCCGAACACATTGAGGGCCACCTGCAATGAGGTGAGAAACTCATCGGGCGTAAAGTTGCTGAACTCCAGCACATAGCTCATGGCAAATCCTGCGGACAGATAGACTGTTCCAAAGCCGAACGTAACAAAGGTCCAGCAGGTGTACAGATAGCGTATTAGACCATCTTTTGGTGGCAGCCAGCCCATTAGCCACATGGCCCGATACATGTAGATGCAACCAATTCGAGAACTAACTGGTTCAGTCAGTGGCGCTGGCTTTATTAGCCTAAACAATGATGACTCCATTGCAAATCGTGTCGACTGTGCGCCCAGTTTGTGTACTGCTTGGTTTTTATAGTCGCTCCCATTGCAATAATTTTGGCAAGCATCAACTGGCAAATGAATATGGCAGCTGTTCAATTCTCGCAATGTGTTGGGAGGTCTGTATTTATGTAAAACAAGGTCAAAGTTTAGCTACAGTTCTATCCATCATTGAATTATTAAAATGGAAAGTTTCAAATTCAAATATTTATTTGTGTTTATTGAAGTACAAATGCATGTCTGTATGCATATAAATACATACATACGTACACGTGCTTACAATGCTCCAAATAAGAATTGTTATTGAGATATTCGCATGGTGCATGAATGTCAATTAATAAAATTGATAAGTATATGTTAGACATGCGTAAAGAAATGGGAACGTCTGCTCGAAACTAACATCGTTTAATAGGAACTAGGTGATGTTAGAAGTTCGTTCTATACATTATTACTATGGATTTGAGCTGAATAATATTTGAAATTCATTAATGCCTACTTAAAGCTTTTTTTAATTACACTTCTATTTTCCTTACCATTCGCATGAAATTCGATTCAACACGCGGTAGCCCTAACTAATTGTCTCTTTATCCTTTCAAAGTTGATAAACTAAACTTATTTAGTTATATTTATTCACAAGTTAAATACCTTTATTTGGAAAACAAGAATTTAATTCATTTAACCGTTATTAATATTCATGCAAATAATTGGGAAGTACCAAATAGGCGGTTCTAATGTTAAGTCCGTTGCACCTCTGTTAAGCGGCATGCAAACGATGTCAGTCCAGAATGTTAATTGAGCAGTATTCTGTTAGCTATTGTGACTGATTGAAATACCGGCCAGCTGACAACTCTGTCATATACTTAGAGCAGCATGTCAACTCTAGACACTTTCTATTTTCTGATTGCGTTGTTGTGGAAGAAAACTGAGAGAAAATAATCATTTTCTGTAAATATATTAAAGTTTAATACAATTTTTTGCACCAACAAACAGCATACAACTGACAGACGGTAAGCGAAACGCTTTGTGAACTACGTGTGTTAGTGGGTGTGTGCGAGGAGGCGCTAACCACGAATCTCAGTGATAAACACTTGCAGTGACAGCAAAAAAAGAAAAAGAGAAAGAGAAAAAAAATCGAAGAATCCCCTTGCGATGGCCGATGTTGAAAAAATGACGGTCGCGTCAGCGACCGATATACCCGTGTCATCGCCAAACATTAGCGAAACAGGCGCAGCTAGCGGCAGCATGGCCGAGCTGGGCACCTCGCCCACACAGGAACCGTCGAGCAACTCCCATCCCCATGACTCTGAATATGACACGGCCAGTGATCTGGAGGGCGGTGAGGGTGATTACGATGATGATGAAAGCGAAAGCGACGAGGAGACTGAAACCGATGAGGACGATGCCGGCTCCGAGACCGAAGAGGACGAGGATGAGGATGATCTTGGCAGCGGCACGGTCAGTGGCAATGGCCTGGAACGCAGCGGTGTCGACAGCGAGGCACAAAAGAAAGTCGACGAGGATCGCAGCAACCCACAGTACATACCGAAACGTGGCACCTTCTACGAGCATGACGATCGCACGGCCGAGACGGAGGCCGATGGTGTTGTAGATACTGCCAGCGACGGCGGCCAATGCCCACCAGGCGTGGAACCCACTGGTGGCGACGTGTCCAATGGTAGCATTGCCACAGGCACCGCATCGTCCGGACAAACGCCCACCATTTCGCAGGCCTCCAAAACTATGAAAAAGTGGCAGCCAGCCTCGGGTGGTGACCGTTGGTCGCACGATCGCTTCGAGGCCAGTGAGCAGGCGCCCAAAACGCGGGTCGAGCTTATGCAAGCCTATGGCTATGATATACGCAACGAGGATGCGGCACCGCGTGCGCGTCGACGCAGACGCTATGGACGCGGTCCGATGAAATACTCTAGAAACTGGGCAGATGAGCAGGCCTATCTGAAGGCGAGCAACAAGGAGCGCAAGCCCCCGCGACCTCAGGACTTTCCGGCGCTCAATGAGCGCAGCAGCACCAGCAACAAAGTGCGCCGTCCGCGCAGCTCAATCTCGCGCGAGGAGAAGGAGAATCGCGGCGAACGTCGGTCTGCTGCCGGCAACGGAGAGAAACACATCAATGCTGCGGGAGCCGGCTCATTGCCAGCCAAATCGCAAGAGCGTGAGCGTGAGCGTGAACGTGACCGTGAACGTGAGCCCAAAAATCGCAGCTATGGGCGTGCCAATGGTGGCCACAATGCAGCCGGTCGCCAAAATGCCATGGAATTCAAGCAGAAACCAAATCGCTCCTCGCATGGACGCGGCGATCAACGAGATTATGTGGATCAGCGCGCTGAGCGCGATTATCATGTGAACAGACCAAATAGCGGACCCAAGCAGATTATCGATCTGCAAACACATCAGCAACAGCAACAAAAGCAGCAACAGCAACAACAGCAACAGCAGCAGCAGCAACAGAGGCAGGCACCGCAGCAACAGCAGCAAACACCACAGCAGCAGCAGAAGCATCTGCCGCCGCAGCCATTGGTAACTTCGAATCTGTCGCAGCGTTTGCAGCAGGTGCAGCAACGCAACGATCCCAGCCATGTTGGCAGCGTGCAAATGCACTCGTTGGCCTCACAGAACCAGCAGCAACAACAACAACAACAGCAGCAGCAACAACAGCAGCAACAACAACAACAGCAGCAACAACAACAGCAGCAACAGTTGCATCTGGCACAACAGCAACAGCAGCAGCAGTTGCCGGCGGAGCAGCGCAATGGGCCCAAGCGCTACTCCAGTCTGAGACGCAGCCAGCACGAGGCCACACAACAGCAACAGCATTTGGCAGAGCAGCAGCAAATGCAGCAACAATTGCAGCTGCAGCAGCAGCAGCAACAACAATCACAGTTAATGCTCCAGGACCCACATATGCTCATGCAAATTGCCTACCAGCAGCAGGAGCTGCAGGCACAGCTGCAAACGCTGCAATTGGGTCCAGCACCGCCGACAGCGGTGCCAGCGCCACAGTCCAAACAGCATGCGCCGCCAACAGCTGCATATCCACAGACCCAGGGGGCACCTTACTATGTGACCAGCGGGGAACCGGTACCGGTTCCGGTGTCCGTGCCTGTGCCCGTATCGGTGCCCGTACCGGTTGCAGTGCCTCAAGCGCCCTATGTTAATCCGGCCAATGCTGCCTATCTGCCGCCCACGCCGGCGGCTGTGGCGTATGCGCAGGCACAATCCCAGGCAGCCACAGGGCCGCCACAGCCAGCACCCCAGGCGCCACAGCCAACCACACAAGCTGCACAGACAGGGCCACCGTCCATAAACTATCACCAAAATTATAATACTGTTGGCGGCACTACATATTTTGTGCCGCCAGCACAGACCACCACCCGCCCCGCTGTGCTGCCCCAGCGTCGACCCACCAATGCAATTCCCATACTTCCGCCATCCGAGAAGCACAAGGCGCGCAACACCAAGCCGGATGAGGGGGCCAGTGGCAGCGGCAGCGGTGACAATATAGACCACATCATTGACAACATGTTTGTGCAGCGTCCGGCCTTCCAGCCGCCGCCGGCCACAGCTGGCGTGGAGGCACCAACAGCCAAACCAGCTAGCGAAGAAACCAATAGCAATATAGCCATTGCACAGCCACCGGCAGCCGCCGAGCAGAATCATCAGGCGGTTGCAGTTCCGGGGCAGGAATGAGTGCACGTCTATGCCAATCCGCGACAGCAGCAGAGACGCGTGCGCAGCCACACGGGCGAACTGATGTCCAGTGGCTATGCCATGCTGCCGCCTCAGGTTGGCTATTATCGCGCTCACTAGGAAGTGGCTCGAAAACTGACATTTTTGACGAGATTGTTTCTTATTGCGGCAGGGTCTGCGACTCTTCCTCAACCCCTCTCCCCTTTTTATAGAGCATTAGAGCAGTGCACACACACACACACATAACACAACACAACACACACGACAACACACTACATTTGTATTTAGCGAATAGCTGCACCTAATCGAACTTACGTCGATCCGACCTTCTTGTATGCATACACACCCAGAGTTCAGCGTAAGGCTTTCCAAGCAATCCGTATATATATACTATATATACATATATCTAGTAATCGGGCGCAGCGGTCCGGCTGCAGCTCTTTTAGAAAGTATAATGAATTTTAAACCAGAGTCATGTCGCTGGCGCTTATAATCTAATTACATAAACATATAGTCGCATTTTGAAGTTGGATTAATCGTGAATTGTAATTAATCATTGGACATTTGAATTTCAATAAACGTTGTAACACACAAAACCCCTAAAAGAAATTCTTTAAATCATATTTACTTTTCCTCAAATTCGGGAACAGAAAGAACATCTAGGTTTGGGACACCAAAGATTACCAAAGAAGCGAAGATTGCTTGGGCGTACAAAATTGTCGACTTTCTGACCGAGTTTTTCCATAGACTTATTTAATATAAAAGTTATACGCTCCTTCTACAAGGGTATAAAAAGAAACGTATTCAAAGTCTCGATTATAAGAATATATTTAATCTAAATCCCTTATATTTCACTGACAGCAGTACCAAGAAATGAAACGATAAAGTTCATCAAGGTTTACCTGATTAAGTCTATGGGCAACTCCTGATATATGGAAGAAGGCAAGAAAAATCTGATCCAACTCCACATGGAATGCATTGAAATTGGATATCGATTTATATCGTAATGCGCAAACTTCAGATTGAGCACAATTTACAAGTTGGATTCAATTTTCTGCTGCTCTAAGAGTCGGCGAATGCGACGGAAGGACTCGAAAAAAATGGAATTGTATTTGCGGGCGCTGGTCTTGATGCTGTCGCGATAGGCAGTCGAGTTTATGTAAATTCTGCAAGGTGAAAAAAAGGAGTTATATGCCGAAAGATAACATGACAGCTTTGCAACTCACGCATCCGAGGTAATTGCATAGAAGATACCATAACCATCCAGAGTCATGGGCGCCACAAAGCCCACATTAGGCGTAAAACCCAGCGTGCTGGAGGAAAGCACAAAATTGCCTCCGCCACCGGATTTGGCATACAGCGGATCATCATAGAAAGCGGGTATGTCCAATTTATTCTCAAAGGCAACGCACCACAGCCCAAAGAGATGTCTATCAATGCCTTTACCCTTGCGTGCCTCGTCCATTTGATATCTGTGATCATTGACAGCGGCACGAAAAGCTTGAAGGAGCTGCTCATCCGTGGTGCTCTTGCTGTCGGAGGCCTTAAGGAACTCATATACAGCATTGGTGCAGGACCGTAGCGTTTCCGTGCGTCCATTGTAATAATGGCGCATTAGCGCCGTCTCATAGGTGGGCGCAATCCTTTCGGATATGTAAATATAAATAAAAATTATAGTAGAACGGATTCAATGGCTTACTCATGGTGCATCTGGTAGTAGGCCCATTGCATGAGCACTTGCACAAAGGAATCGGGGTGTAGCTTCTGGCTCTTCATAAATTCCTTACCGTAATCATCGAACACTTCAAATGTAGCGGTGACATCGATGCCCTAAAAAGAATGAAAAATTTCTTAGATTGGAACAAAATTTTTATAAGTTTGGACTAACCCGCTTCTCAACCTCGTCGAGCACACGTTTAATCTCTGATTTGAGTGTGTCATCTAACTCGAATTTGAGTTCCTGTATATCCACTATCTTCGTATCCTTTACCTCACTCCAGTCTGGTTCGGGCACCTCCAGAAAACTGAGCTGCATAAATGTGGCAAAGCTGGCGCTGATTGTTCCATCGTAACAGCTGTGCTCGCCCGTATACACATAGTGTCCGTTCTTGAAGGCGATTATGCAGCTGCTGCGGTCCGCCCAGCGCGAATGATAGTCACCATAGATGCTCAACTGTGAGGATTCCTCTGTATTCTGAGGCTGATGCTCATCCCAACAAATGCTTATGTTCGAGCTTTCCACTAGCTTTAGAGTCTGCTTATTAGTCTCCGAAATGCTCATCAGGTGTTTGCGATTCTTCGCCCAGCTGGTGCGATCGTCATGGGTTAGCGCTGGGACGCCATCGCCCACCGGCTCATAGTCTAGGATGCTGCGTAGGCGCTGCAGAGCAACCAATATCTCTGGCGCCGTCAGAATGGTGTCATCCTCGTGGACACAATTGAAGGAAAACTGCCGACCCTTGCCCGTGATTATCAGATGGGTGGGTGTGCGTCCCTCCGATTTGGTTAGGAAATGCTTCTCAATATGATCCTGCTCCTCGCCGGGCACGCGCGATGTGGAATAGAATTGCTTGTACAGTGCTGACGAGTACTTTATCTTGCCACCATTCGAGGAGAGTGGCTTGATCGTTTCACTGCGCACCAAATCCCAGAACTCCAGCGTGTGATGGATTTGACGCGCGAGACTCTGAAATTAATGATTAGAATTGTGTTGAACCCAAATTTCTTAAACCTTAACGATATTTTACGAACTTTTCTTTTCTTCACTCCCTAACAAATAAATAGATAAATTCTCAGCAACGGACTACTGATATTATATGATAGTTCAGCTCCAATTGGAACAATCTAATATTTTTGATCCATTTCTATAGAAATGTCAGCTTTGCGCCTGGGGCTTACCTTAAGCATGTAGTCGGGCCGCTCGGGCACGCCCACATGTACCATCTGGCAGGGCATTGACATAATCTGGTAGGGCAAGAGTGGCAGACGCATCATGTGATAGGCGTAATCCTCCCACCAGCTGCCTAGCCAGTTTTTCATTTTGGCCGCACGCTCCTTAAGCTTTGCCTGCAGCTCAGCTCCAATTCCATTTGCAAACTCATCGATAATGCGGCGCGAAAGGGCCAGCTCCTCGGGCGTGCCAAAGGGCTGCAGGCTGGCATAGTAACGCTTCATGGTATCCCGCAGCTCCGGCAATGGCAGTGCCGGCAGCGTTTCATCAAAGCTGAAGGTGCTCTCATTTTGGCCACCGTAAAATAAGCTTGCACGATCCATAACGAAAGCCTCTGCAAAAGTTGTTTGGTCCGTGTTATTTAGGTTAATAAGTCACTATAAATTAGCCGTACAGCATTGCACAGCATATCTACAGGTGGGATCCAGATAAGCAGCAGCTGATAAGCAGCAAAAACATTTTCCATTTTTGATTTACGCCTGGTCCAAAGTACCAAACTCGAGTGCCCGACAGAAGACGGCCAAAGGTCGCAAACGAAACACACACACACACACACACACACACACACACCAGATATACATATATATATATACAGCAGTATATGCTAATGTGTTTTAACTTAGTTTGAGTGGATGCTGCAGCACACCTTTCGCCTTTTGCTGTGTATTTAGTGCCTTTTTTTTTACTAACCTTTGGGGGTATCCAATTGCCGAAAGCGTCCAACTGTTGCGCTGTCTATGCGCTGAATGACTAAACGCTTCGACGTTAGACACAAGCCCCAGCAAAGTTCGGTGGGCGTGGTGTCCAGCACACTAGTGAGTGTGCGTCAGTCGCGCAGACTGAGCTGCTTTGATAAAGCGACGATCGATAAGAGAGAGCGGTGAATGAACGCGCACTCAATAAAGTGGACAATCACACATGTAAATAGGCGATTCTAAAGTGTAATGGCACAATCCGATTTATTTTAATTCATTTGCATCAATAGAATGCAAGCGAAAATAAATTTTAAACATGGCTCCAGCACGTAGCACACTGAACTGTGACGTCACGAGTGAATTGCTTTTGAGACATTGGTTGGACTTTGTACCAGCACCCGCGCACTCGCACGCTGTGCTAGCGTTGTGCTGGCTATCGTGCTTTTTCTCGTGACACGAACACGAATTAATACGATGTCTTCGTAGTAAGTAAATAACACCGAGTTTTATAAAATACAAGGGTTCGAAATAATTTTGATATATTAAAAAAGTTTACATATACATAAAATATGAAGGTCAAAATAGATTTAAAAATATATATTATATATTTAAAAAATGAGCATGTAGCGCACGCGTCGTGCCGTGCTAGAAAATTGAGTAACGCAGCCATCTCTACTCTAAGCACTTATCCAATTAGCATGTCATCGCAATTTTGACGGAAATTCAAATAAAACACATCATTGATAAAAACTAAAAAAAGTGCTTATTTATGCAAGTGCAAGAATATCTAGTGGATTTAGTCAATTAGAAAAGTACTGTGCACTGGCCTGTTCCAAATGCACGTATTAGTTAGTAAACAAAAAATTTATATGGTTTTTTTATTGTTATAATGCGCGTCCTTACTTGGTGCAACTCTTTACAACTAAGTTTCACTTTGAAGTAACTTGTCAGTATTGATAAGATTTTAGATTGCTGTCATATTTTCTACTGGGTGCTGGTTGTTTTGTTTATGTGGTCAGCTGTAATGACAGAGTTGCCACACTTGCGAAAGCCTGGCAACGCCGTGCTGCTCGATTCGCAAAACATCTGGCATTAATTTCATGAAATGAGCAAATACACAGAACGGAATAAATAGAACAATATATTTTCTACAACGCTTGCTTAATAAAGCTGCGATTTCTAACTAAGCGCAAGCGGCCGAAAAATGTTACCATCGACGGGTCTTTTCAAGAGCTTTGCTTGTCCGTACTACAGCAGCACCGTCAGCGGTAACAAAGACAGCAACGGCGAAGCGTCCTTCAACTGCAAACGTCCTTTCTGCCATTTCAAACATATACGCAAGGGTGAGTGTGTGTGTCTGAAGATTCCAAGTTATGCAAACGCCTAACGCCAGTTGCTTGCAGACGATGTGGAAATTACGCAGTCGGCAGATACGGTGCCGGAGTACAAGCCAGCGCCGGTGCCCAAATTGCTCTCCCTGCCGCTGCCCGAAATGGCGATGTGTGCGCCCAAAAAGAAGCCAAATCTGGAATATCACCCAGAGAAGCCGGCACTAAACGCCTCTCCGGCCAAAAAACGTTATGACGAGGTGGCTAGCGCACCCAAATACGTGCCCTCAGCGGTGGTAGGCACGAATGGTGCAAGCGGCGATTGGCCAGAACATGATAAGGAGGAAGTAGAGGAGGATTTGGATGAATTGGCTGAAGCAAATACTGAAGTAAAGCTGGAGCAGCAAGTATCTAGCGAGGAGGCGCCAAATAGTGACAGCGAACAGAAGCCGTCGTCCAGTGCCCGCAGCGAAAGTCGCAAACATGACCACAAAACGAGCAAGGAGCGCGACAAGGAGAAAGAACGCCGGAGCTCATCGCACAAAGATAAAGAACGCTCTGAACGTCGTAGCTCCAGCTCCAGCTCCAAGCACAAATCTTCCACATCCTCCTCAGCATCCTCTTCACACAGAAAGTCAACCAGCAGCGATAGACATCGCAGTGAGAAGAGTTCTGGTAGCAAGGACAGAAGCAGCACATCTAAATCCACAACGTCGTCATCATCATCCTCTCGAAGCCGCCAGCACAGTAGTTCCAGTTCAAAATCCACATCGCGCAGTTCAGGCAGTTCCAAATCCAAGAGCTCCTCGTCCTCTAGCTCTAGTAGAAGCAAAGACAAAGCTGAAACAGAATCAACAACGACCACGGAAACGGCAACACCAACTGCTGTTCCCACCAAGGTCGCAGCTAAGCCCGCCGAAGACTTTGTAATGGATGAAATGGATTTTGACGCCTCCGACGCGGAGATTGTGCGCCAGTGTGAAATGATATTCGATGAATTGGAACAGGAGTTTGCGCAGCTACACAAGCCGGAGGAGACGAGTGCGGAGACCATGCGGAAACGCAAAGCACCATCGCCGGATATTGATGCCTACACCGAGGCAGCCACGGCTGCATTACAGAAGCGTCGCGTGGCCCACGAGAATGCGGACAAGTGCAAGCCACAAGCGCCGATAGCGGTGCACAAGCCCAATCACATACGAAACGCGATGCAGGCTATATTCGATAGGCGTGCCGAGCTGCGCCGCCAGGAAAGGCTGCGCGCCGAGGCAGATGCCGAGCAGCTGCGCCAGGCGCAGGAGCGTGTGCGAGTCGCCCAGGAGGAGTTGCGCGAAGCCAGGGCCAAAACCCTAACACCACTTATCTCGCGCAGCGCACTGACACCACCAACACGCACAGGTGGGTCAACTACACCAAATCTCCTTAAAGTACCCTTGCAGAGGGTATTCTAATTCTGCTGCGATTTGCTTAATGCCTATACTTAGGGGACATTTGCGAACTCATTAGGTAATGTATTCATCAAGGCTGCAAACTAAGAAAAATGGTCGGTGGTTCGGTTCAAACCATCTTTCTGTCTGCAGGTACGGTTTGTGAACCTGCTTTTTGATGGCTTTATTTGACTCCCATCCATAAAGAGCAGCTATCAAATATACTCTTTTCTTTGAGACTAAGTCTCAAAAGCTTAATGTCTTGGACCAACCTATTATTAAAATACGTGGTCGATTCGGGTTTCAGTTCGGTTGTTTTTCGTGCTAAGTTTAGGTTTATTTGGAGTTATAAGTTTGAAATGGTTCGGTTTAAAACAGGTTTGTAGCCTTGGTATAAATATGTATCTAATCAATATAAATATGCGATAGTTAGCTTTTAGTTTTTGTTTAACAAGCATGTATACATAGCGCACAGTTGCAATTTCTCTGCAAGGGTACTTAACTTCGGTTCAATCAAAGGATAAATTTGTATTTCCTTTTGTTTTACATGCTAATGCTACTCCCAATCCAAACAGCTCGCACCATCACGCCCGTGGCCAACGTGATTGCTATAGCACGTGCTAAAAAGAAGATCGAGGAGCTGCAGGCCGAAAAGAAGCCCGCCTTCACGGCAGCTCAGACTTTCAAAGGCGGCAGTCGTTTGGCGCATAAGCCAACAGCGGCACTGGACAAAGTGGCACCTGCAACGGGTGCCGCAGCCGCAAAGCCGCCCGTACTGGAGCCGCAAAGCTCCAAAATATCCTATAATATACGCATGCAGTATTACGAGATGATGGTGAAGCAATGCACCGTCATCTATCCACAGCTGGCTGATGCCTGGGAGCGCGCGCAGGTCGAAGAGCTGGCTGTGTTTAAAAAGTGCAGCACGCCGACCATTTATAAGAACAGCTGCATGCTGGCCATTAATAAGCTGCGTAAGGAAGCCATCGAGGCGGGCAATCAGCCCGGCGTGGCCAACAAGACTGTCTCGCACGAGATGATGCTGGGCGGCAAGCGTGCGCTCAATACATCCTGGAGTGTGGAAAAGAAGGAGTAGGTCGCTTACATGAATTTCATTCCTCTTATTAATCGCTCGCTTTTTTTTTTTTTTTTTTAGCAAATGGAGCTCCTCGGCGGAACCTTTCGATACGCTGAGCGCCGAGAAGGCCTACGAATTGGTATACGATCTGCATCTGACCGATGAGCAACTGGTGGAGAACGGCTATCCGCGGCCAGGCCCGACGCGCGGCACAGCTGTCATACGCGCCTGCCGACCCAATCGCCGACCCAACGAGACCGAACGCTACTGCACGCGCTGTGGCAAGGTCTTCAACCTGAGCATATATGAGACCAAGTGCACCGACATGTGCAATTATCATCCAAAGAGCACAGGCTATCGGCGCGGCTTCGCAGACAATCAGCATCGCTGTTGCCAGCAGCCGGCGGGTACGCCTGGCTGCAGTTATGCCAACTATCATGTCAGCGACTACTACGATCCGGACAAACTGACCTGCTTTATAAAGACCATCGAGCGTTCGGACGATTATGTGCCCACCAAAAAGGATATCTACGCGCTCGATTGTGAAATGTGCTACACTACGCACGGTATCGAGCTAACGCGTGTGACCGTTGTGGATATTAATGGACGCAGCGTTTACGATGCTCTGGTCAAACCGGACAATCAAATTGTGGACTATAATACCGTGTAAGTATTGCTCTGTTTTGTGTAGCTGTCATTATTCATAATAATTACTAATTATATTCACGGCAGTTTTTCGGGCATTACGGAGGCAATGCTGTCAAAGGAGACGCGCACGCTACGCGATGTGCAGGCCGTGCTTATGTCAATGTTTCATGCCAAGACGGTGCTGGTGGGTCACAGCTTGGAGAGCGATTTAAAGGCTTTAAAGCTAATACACGATGTGGTCGTGGACACATCCATACTCTTTCCCCATAAAATGGGTCCGCCCAAGAAGCGAGCGCTCAAAACGCTTTGCATTGAAAATCTAAAGCGCATTATACAAGAAAATGGTAAATACACGACCAGTCGAAACTCCACTCTATTACAATCTAATCTTTTTGCCTTGCAGAGGCTGGCCACGATAGCGCTGAGGATGCGGAGGTCTGCATACAGCTTATTAAATACTACTTGCGCAACAAGATTAGTTGAGCGCCAGGTGGAGCAAATATTAATGGGATTGGGTGCGACACTTTTCAAGTTCATCAATGCAGGCGCATTGCATACATTTGTAATATGTAAGCGGCGTTACCGCCAATTTAAACCCAGT